TGTTGTAGCTTGGGTAGAGCTTGAAGTAACGATCCGAGAGGTTGCCGTACTTCAGGGTGCAGTAGTACTTGTATTCCTCCGGGGTGTAGTCGGTTTTTGTAGAAGCACCCGATTCATCTTTGGTGTTGCCCGTGATAACGGGGACATCATTGGCGGGGCCGTTCTTCAACGTCTCGAGGTACGTAGAGGGAAGGACGTAGCCATCCAGAACGGGCTTGAAGATTAGAGGGTAGCCGGCCGAGAGCGCGGTAACCCACCAGATAGAACTGTTGCCAACGCGGTCGGAAGCGCCAACGATCAGCTCCTCCATTGAGAGGGTGCGCATCTGCTCGATGGTCGAAACGTTGTGGGCCTTGATATAGCTTGCACCGTTGGTGATGGCAGTAGACATATTCACATAAGAGGTGGCCAGACCAGCCAGAAGGGTATCGTAAGGATATCTGATGCCAGACTCAGAGATACCGCCGTGGAAGTAGCCGGTGAAGAGAGGACTGTTGACAGCATGATAGACCTGAGAAGAACCGAAAGACTGACCAGCAACGACAACACGGTCTGGGTCACCACCAAACTTGGCAATATTCTTTTGCACCCACTTCAAAACCTCGAGTTGGTCGAGAATACCATAGTTGCCGGAGGTTTTGTGACCGAAGGTTTCGTATCCTTCCTCGTTGAGCTCGGGAGAAGCAAGGTAGCCGAATGCATCATCTCGGCGGTTGAAGGTGATGAGAATGACATCCTTCAGAGCCATACCACCACCGTACCACCAGGTGTTGTTGCTGGTCTCATCAGAACCCTGGTTCCAAACCATGACAGGAAGCTTGTCACTGGCAGATTTGGCATTGGTCCAGATATTGAGACTGAGACAATCCTCGCTGATATCGGAAGACGTGGTGGTAGGACAGGCAGGGCCAAAGTTCTTGGCCTGCAGAGTTTCATTCCATGGCTCTCGGGGCTGCGGTGCCTTCCAGCGATTTTGATATCCGGTATCAGCGGCAAATGGGATACCCAGGAAGGCAGCCACATTGGACTCGGCGCCGTTGAAGTATTTGTCGAGAGTAGTCTGGTTGAAATACTTAAATCCCTCGACCGGACCATAGCTGGTTTGAATGACAGTGTCCCAGAGTTGGGCTTGAGCGAAAGTAGCGCCCAGCGCTAGGGATGCAAGAGCCTTGGAAAGGAGTGGTGCCATTGTGAATCACAAAGACAGGGGAAAATGGAGTAAAAGGCCTGGAGAACAATACCAGGTGTTGAGGAATGATCTCTTTATATAATCCTTATGTGCTACCCTATGCAGTATAAAGCACTGTGGAAACATCAAACCACACTGATCTATACACCTCGGGGCTTGCATACTCGGCCTCAGTCTCTAAATCGGGTAAGTCGGCGATGATCTTCGGTTTAAACTCAAGCCCCACCGGACACGCGGTCAGGTACTGGATATTCCCGCGACTTCCTGCAAGGCACCCCCTTTTTCTTGCAACTAAGTGGGCCTTGGATTGAGAGGTACCTGGCTTGCGTGGCTTAATTGAGCCCGAGTTTGAGCTTATGGCCTGTCATTCGCTCGGATTCAACATGACAGGAACAAGTCGCATCTGATAATTGTTCAAGGTTGTAGGTGTATCTATGTGGGTTTAAAAGTCATTATACTGCGAAGCTCATATCTTGGCAGAATATATAACCAAGGATTTCTGAACAGCCCTCTGCATCCATAGTGGAGGGTGGCACCCGCTTAGCTCACATCGTAGCAGAGTATAGAGCACCACGTTTCTGAATAGCCCCATCACTTGGCTCTCGTTTATACGTCTCGCCATATAGTAACTAAGTTACCTAGAAGCATGACATGTATGTACTATCCTCCTTCTCATCCTGCATGTGGGTTAGAGACATACATGCACAATGGAGAGTAGGGCGTTGGCAATTGTACACTCGACCACTAGAGGAAGTTGGCTAGAGAGAAGAAAAGGAAATAGAAATTCATAAGCTTTGTGTGAAAGTGAAACATTCAGCTTTGATCTTCACAGGGCCATGGTTTATCCCTGGTCCCCGATTGGAGAAGGGAGGGTCAAGGGTGAGTAGGGAAACGTTTATCAACAGAGCTTAGCACCAACTCTGGAAAAAGATCTGTCTACTAAGCGCTCGTATACCTGCTAATATTATCAGCATGGCATCTTCCTCTATACCATTTGTCAATGTCATGATAATTGGTGGGGTTCTCTGGGCTGGCTATGGGGTGCCAGCTGAAAACAAAGCTTCACTGTGATGATTTTGTAATATCCGACACCGAGCTGCTAAAGGTGGAGGCACCTGGTGGGCAAACCAATATGAGTAGGCTTTGCGCCTAATATCTCAACTCCAACTTTCCCTAAGCTATTACCAGATCCTGGATGTGGCGTGGACATTCCCGCTGTGTTCTATAGCTTGTCGTTTGCTCTAACCCCAGCGACTCGAAAGCATTTCTGAAACAGAAAGAGATATTGCAGTACTTCAATAGTGTGGCCGATCGCTTTGATGTCGCCCGGCACTTTGTGTGTAAGATTGATTGGGAGGAAGCTCACAGGCAGGAGGCATCCAGCACACGGCTAGTTAAGCTCAAAGACCTTCCCACGGGTGAAATCTTTCGTCAGCAATGTGCCTTGCTCGTTTCAGCTGTTGGTGGGCTCACAGTCCCGAACAAGTCTCGGTTCGATGGCATCGAAACATTTGAGGAAGACATAATTCATACCGCGAAGTGGAAGAATGATCTTTCTCTGAAAAACAGGAATGTGGTGGTGATTGGCAATGGCAAGTATCACGTAAATTACTGACCCGACCTTCTGGGCCATAGCCTCCGCGTGGCAACTAATTCCAAACATCGCGCAAGATGGAAGTCCATAACCCAGTTTATTCGTGTACGGCCACGTTTCCTCTTATTCTCTCAATGACCTGGTCAGCTAACATACCTTAGACCCCGCAGCATTACATGCAGAGCCAGGACACAAAGAGACAGGATAATTGATTACCAATCCCACTTCCCTGAATGAGAGCAATGGATTTGCGGTAGGCCCGTTCCACTTCATAGTATATATATTTTACTTAAGAAGCATGATTCCCCTTGAATTCAACCGTTATCGATGATCCATCTTGTTTGAGTAATATCACTTATGAAGACACAACTTCACATCTGCAACCTGACTTCAACGTCTTGCTCCATAATGTCGAATTTTCCAAAACGGTATTAGGCCATCGTGATCCACAAGACGAAGGACGGATTCACAGTGCAGGAGGTTGAATGAGCATCGTAGCTAGAGAAAAACCGGAGAACAGGGTGAGGCCTGAGACGTAAGGCACTGGTCCGATGCTTTATGAACATCAACGCTGCATGGCCTGACAACTACTCATGCAGTGCTAGACCTATATCTATATGGAATATGATTCACGGATACTCACAATGATACGCCCATCATAAACATGAAAATTTATTGGCAACGAGCCTGATTAAGAAGGGAATTCCACGCGAGGAATAGGTTTGATGAGACAATTTCAAGAAACATGTCGCACCTACTTATGCCTTAATGATGTCCCGATCCGAAGGCCGGAAGTATCCACAATGTTCATGTGGAACGGTGGGCCAGTAGACAGATGATAATCAAAACCAATGGTGGATAGACGTGAGAATGAGTTACCAAGGGTAACATCCATCTTTGTGAACAAATTTGCCGGCATCTTTATCTCTCCTTCCAACTATAATGTCCAAGAGCGCGTTCGCTGATTCCATCGGATCGCCAGCATTACCTTGAGCAGTGACCGCTTCTTCAGAAACACCCCTCAGGTTGGATCGCACAAGACCAGGACAAAAGGCAAAAACGCGGACTTTCTGGTTTTTGAGTCGCTTGTGCATTTGAATTGTCATCATGTTCAATGCGGCTTTGCTCATGCGGTATTCATCCCACGTCTCGGAACTTTTCGCATTGTTGGCATCCGATGCAAGTACTAGCGAGCCCAATGCACTTGATATTTGAATAAGACATGGATGAGTGGACTTCAGCAAGAGGGGGATGAAAGCCTCTGTAGCAAGCATTGCACCAAAGACGTTTGTTGAGAATATCTTTCCGATCTTATCACGTCCAGTCGAACCAGGCGAAAGTGTGCCTGCATTACTGATAAAAACGTCGATCCGCCCGAACTCGTTGGAAACACTGTGGACGGCCTTCGAGATCGAAATGTCATCTTCGACATCCAGCTGGACAACGGAAAGTGTTCCTTTAATGCCTGCAGTTTCGAGCTGGGAACATGCCTCGTATCCCTTGGAAAGATTTCGGCAGGCCATTATTACATGGTAATTTGGATGGGATGCAATTGTTTTAGCTGTTGCATAGCCAATACCCTGATTGGCACCTATATAATGTGAGAACTATGAAATTATTTGACGCAGCTGAAATCTTACCAGTAATGAGGACAATGGTTGATTCAGACATTATAGTTCTAGAATAGAACCTGTTGTGTGAATTCACGATTTGAATGATTTACAATTATTGTATGGCTCTGACCTGAATTTATTGAAGTAGAAAAGTCCACCGTGTTTATGATTGCGTCATATGATCTGGCCAAGCTTTTCTTTCCCGCCCCCAAACAACGGGACGCACGGAGATAACCGGTTTTGAATATTCGGTTTTAGTTCGGAGTCCGGCAAAGAGCTACGCATGCTAGAGTAACATTTATGTCGGAAATAAAGGCAAATCCGAAACCACTATATGTGACAGGGTACTTTGCTTATCTACCCTCGATCTCCGGTGAAGAACCACCTTTCACCCATCTCGTGCATTCATATATACGTGACTTTGAAGGCGGAACTAATAGCAAATCCGAAGCTTCGATCTCCGGTGCTGGCGTTCCCGAAGCTCGGGGATCCACCGCCAAAGCCCCTCATCAAGTGTTTAAATAAGGAGCAATTCCTGTATCGTTCACTATTTCCCCTTAATCTCCTCAACACCATACTAAAAATAATAATTTTAAAAAAGAAAATGTCGCCCACAATCAAGAATGTGGCTCTTGCCGGGGTAAGGGTCAAATAAAAACACTACATTGTCCAAGTTAACAAGCTGTCAGGCTAGTGGAAACGTCGGATCTCGCGTACTCGACGCATTACTCGATCTCAAGTTCAATGTAACGGTGCTTGCTCGGAGTTCCAAGCCCTTCCCGGCCGCTGCTAGCGTGAAAACTGTTGACTTCACTTCGGTGGAGTCATTGTCTGCTGCTATGGCCGGACAGGACGCAGTCATCGATACTACTTTCTCGCCCGAGATTGACACACCACTCCGACTTATTGATGCGGCGGTCAAGGCTGGAGTTTATCGCTTGTTCGTTGGCCGATCTATCTTATAGCAAATGATCATTCACTAATACTCTGTTCAGTATCACCAGCGACTTTGGTCTCGATCCTGAAATCCCAGGTGTTCACAATATGCCTGTTTTCGGTCGAAAGAAGGTTTCTTATGAGGCCGTCAAGAAGCAAGCGGCTGAGAGCCGCTTGACCTACACACTGGTATCCAATGGTGCTTTCCTTGACTGGGGTCTCACCACTGGCTTCTCCGGTCTGAACTTCAAAGAAAAGACCGCTTGGATCTTTGGTGATGGAAACAACGTCGTCCCATGGACGACGTTGGAGGATGTTGGCAAAGCAACTGCGAATGTGCTTTTGCATCCGGAGGAGACTCTGAACCGCCCGGTCTATGTTCACTCCGTGTTCCTGTCGCATAATCAGCTGTTCGACGCAGCAAAAGAGGCTTTAGGGAGTGAGGGGTGGACTGCCACATATAACGACATGGAACCTCTTTTGCAAAAGGCGTTGTCGGATCTCCAGACCGGCAACATTAGTGATGCTACGTTTGTAGTACAGATCCAGTACTGTCTGGCCACCAAAGCGCTTGCACACCCTTGGGAAAGGGATGATAATTCCCTCGTGGGACTGGAAGAATGGAGCGTGGAAAAGGTGAAAGAGCTGATTAAGACGATCGCCCAAAAAGCACAGTAAGGTTGAGTCGTCTTGTCAATTGAATGATATAGAGGTAATATCTTATGTTGTTCACAGTCCAATGAACTATTAGGCATACATCAACAAAACCGCGGCTGGATGCCAAGTAACTCTAAATTACCTTAAATTATATGTACACTCCCTCGAGAGGACAGACTCTTCGATAGGATTTGCAGAGGGATGATAGATATTATCTGTGGATGACCATGTTTGACGACCATAGTGTTGACTTGCACCCAATATCTCTCTCACTCAGCTGTTCCATGCCTGCATTCCCGGGATGTAATCCCCGAAGCTCGGGAAACCACCATCGGGAACCTTGCCCCACGAGGAGCAAACGGAGCAAGGTCGGGGACCGTAAATCGGATCGCACGAGGAATCGTTGATTTGATCGCATGACAAAAGTGACATTGTGGAATTCCAGTACTTTCGTCACCGCGCATGATGTCTACATATAGAGCAATGCTGGTCATCTAAACGTTTCTTTTTCTTGTAAAATAGCTGTGATAGTGTCTGACCAGCCGAAATCATGGATATCATTATCGTAGGTGCCGGCATCGCCGGTCTCAGCGCTGGGATTGGTCTTCGCAGGGCAGGCCACAAAGTGACGGTTGGCATCTCCCAGTAACTCGTTCCCTTCTGGACTGCACAATGTCTGACATTTCTTACGAATAAGATCCTCGAACAATCCTCGTTGTTGCACGAAGTGGGAGCAGCGATCACCATCAAGCCTAATGCCTCGCGCGTCCTCAAGTCCTGGGATTTTGTCCCCGAGCAGTCTGGCATGGTGGCCCTACGCGGAATGAGCCTGATCGACGGTACCAACATGGAGACATTGGTGCCCACCTACTACAAAGACTGCGAATCCACGTGGGGCCTTCCGATGTACGCCGTTCACCGTGTTGATCTACACAGCCAGCTGAGACAGCTTGCCACTCAAACGGAAGGGCCTGGGAGGGCCTGCGACGTCCGCGTGCTGGCCAAGGTGGTCGACTACGATGCCGAAAACGGCAAGGTAACGACTGAAGATGGCGTGGTCTTGCAGGGAGATCTCGTTGTTGCCGCTGATGGGGTGCACTCCACGGCCGTAAAGCATGTCCTGGACGAAGAGATCCTCCAGGCCGGAGATACTGGTTGGGCATGTATGCGGTGGCTGGTGCCGAGGGATGATATTCTCTCGGATCCGGAGACGGCGGACATGATCCAAGACTCTGCCACGAGATACTTCACGGCTGCCAATGGAGCTGCTGGTTTGGTGTGGTATCCGTGTCGAAAGTGCGTACCACAGAGATTTCTCTTCACGAAACTGTTTGGTAAACTGTGCTGACATATGTTTTGGGGAAACTTAGCAATGAGGTCCAGAACTTCCTTTACCTCTCGCGGGAATTCGATACCTCCCACGTCGGAGAAGGTGAGAAACTAGCCGATCCCCTGTAATCCACCAAGCTATACAATTTACTAATGCCATATTTTAGATTTCAGAGCTATGGTTGACCCAAGCATGCCCTTAGAATATGCAAAAACGCATTTTGCCCCGGCCCTACACACCGTGATCAAGTGAGTTCTGAGTCATGTTGCCTGGTCTCACAGTGTACTTACAAACCCGACGCAGGAAAGCCAGGGACGTCAAGTTCTGGAAGCTCGTGGCTAGAGGGCCCATTCCCAAGTGGCACAAGAACCGACTCGTCCTGATCGGCGACGCAGCACATCCCATGCTCACCTGTGAGTCTGAGCTTTGCTTCTCCCATGCTCACCCGTGTGACAGTTCCAAAATTTGAATAGCCTGTTGATTCTGGTGTTAACGAACCCATAGTCCAGGGCCAAGGTGGCGGACAGGCCATTGAGGACGGTGCCGCCCTCGGTATTTTGCTTGACCAAGTTCGTAATCTAGAGGATATCGAGGAGCGACTGCAACTATTTGAGCAGGTCCGCCGGAATAGAGGCTCGGCATTGCAGATTCTCTCTAATACGAACCCGCCGGCGTCGCAGAGCGTTCGCGATGCCGCCGCCGCGTACCTTCCCAGTGGCACGAGGCTCGATTCGACCGACGACATCAACGACTATGTCTTTTCCTTCGATGTGATTAAAGAATGCAAGATGGCGCTTGCTGCCGCGTAGATATTTAGATTGAAAGAGGAGGTGTGAAGTGGGAGACAAAAAACAGAATGATACCTGTGGCTGGCACTCGCAGAATTAGCCCAACTGAACGAACAGGTGTATAGAACTCACAGCTTCAGCCAAATTAAACTCTATAAAGTACACGACAAATCATGCAGTTCTTTGAGCCTCTGTAATAACCACAATTTTTAAAGCTACCACTTTGTTCGACTTACGCAGCCTTACAGCACTCGATTTTGGCTACAGCGTCGTGACGAATCTCCTAAGCTCATACATAGAAAGGTAGTTCGTGTACGTACAATTTAGCCTCTTCAAACCGTAATCTTCTTTGTCTTTCTAGATAGATGTCATTCAGGCTTTTCTGAATCTCTTCCTGACCTCTTCATTGGGAGATCCATGAGGCTAATACAATACCACACGGTTCTATACCTTATAATATGAGTTCAAACTAACTTCTCAACAAAGGTCGCAAACAAGATCTATATCCATTTCTATGTTCAATCTGTTAACTACTTAATACAAAGGTTAATTACACTTGCCGATCCGACGAGAAATAGGCCAAGGCATTTTCCATCTCAGCTTGGAGAAGCCGGACGTGGCTTGGCATGGGCAGTTCAAAATGATCACCATTGACAGAAAGGACCATGACCTCCCCGCTGGTGAACCTTTCCCACCCATTGGAACGCAGGCTCTCTTCGCCTTTGTCCGGGACATTGCATGCAAAAGTACTGAGTTTAGGATCTTCCATGAAGCCCGGATACGACTTGGTAGGCACGCCCTGGCCCTCCAGCTTCTGCATGCGGGTAGGGTCATCCGATACGCGGTTGACCAAACCACGCTCCGCCCAGATGATAGCAGTCTTAGCGGGCTTCTCGGCTGCCGTCATTGGTGCTGGCGTGTACTCATTCATGGCGAGGAAGAACTGACGCATGTGGTTGCGGCTAGATTCGAGCGCACTCCACTGTCCGTCCCGATTGACAATTTCCTCTAAGACTGCCTCGCTGGTATCGGCCTCGGCGAGCAGATTGTCCCGTTCCATTATTCGCGACCGGGGGCAGGGCATGTCGATTAGAAGGAGTCCCTTGACCGTGCGCCCGGCGCGGGCCAGCTGACGTGACATCTCGAAGGCGACGAAGCAACCGACAGAATAGCCTCCGATCATGAAGGGACCAGTGGGGTGTGCCTTGAACAGCGCGTCGACTACTAGCCTAGCTACGCCCTCAATACCGACTTCGCTGTTCATACGCGAGGGACAGCGGAGGTATGGTGAGTCGATGCCGTAGACAACCTGGTTGGACTTGAAAGGCCGCAGGTGGATAAACGACGCCACGCTACCGGTACCATCGGGCATTAAGTACAGCGGAGTATCACCGGCCTTAGGGCGGCCCTGCAGCAGTGTGATCCTGACGCTGGGAGGTGGCGACGTGTCGTTGTTCATAAGCCCCGGTGCTAGAGTCGGCGGGTCCTCCTTCTCGACATTGGCCAGGCTTAACGCCGGAGAGATGGGGGTGAAGCGGTCGTCTGGAGTCGGAGAAGACAGAGCATCTTCATCGTCGCTGGAAGGCGTCGCACTGGTATCGTTGCTATCCGCGCTTCCCTGCCCTCCACTACCAAACGCGCGACGGAGATCGCCTATTGTGACATAATCAAAGACAAAGGAGGCGGGAAGGTTGATGCCCTTCTCGTTGACAACGGCAACCACCTCTATGGCCATGATTGAATCGACGCCAACATCGGCTATCTCCGTTTCATCTGTGAACTCGGAAGGGTCACTGCCGGTTGCAGCGATGAGGCTATCTAGAATAACCTGGAATTCTCCCGTATTTGCAATCTCATCTTTCTTGTCGTCCTGAGTTTTGTTCGTCCGCTCTTGTTTTATCGGCACCGTAGGCATAGCAGCAGGCAGATTCTCATGGATCATCTTGGTTTCCTTGGCACTGGGCAAGGAAGCTGACTTGGAAATCGGACCTTGGTGTCCTGCAGCACCAATAGGGTGTGGCCTCATGCCAAGAATATGGCGCCAGGTGGCCCTCTTAAACTGCTGGTAGCGCAGGTCAACGGCCTGCATAACGATTGTCCAAGTCAGCGGGTCGAAGACATAGGCGGTGCAGAAGGCCGTGGTGCCTTCCCATCGTGAGATGCGCGTGTACGTCATGTACTCCTTGTTAGGCTCGATAGGGGCCAGTTGCTCGATGATGTCGTAGCCCATGAGGGCATAAGTCAACTGCGACGGCGTGTTCGGGTTTCCGTTCACCATGAAGCCCGCCAGGTGCAGCAGGGCCTCGCCCCAGTATGGCGACGCGGTGTATCGCGTGCCCGCCGGATCAGGTCGGATTTTGATGGTCGCGGCGGCTTCTTGGTAGTCGCCGGCTACGTAGGCCTCCTGGACACCACGGAAGTCGGGCGAGAACTCAACTGCATTGGCGAAGAGCGCGAAGAAGACGTCGGGCAGCATCCGATGACCTGAGCCCTCCTTGGAAAGCCGGATCCGATCGTCCATCTTGGCTTTGATGAAGAAAGACACCCGGTCCAAGTCGGCCTGGGCCTTATCTGGGCTGCGATATTTGACTGTCACCGAGCCGAGATCGTAGGATTCGCCGCTCTTAGAAGTGGCCTTGAAAGTGGCCAGGACGACGTTGGCAGACGCGCTTTCCATTGTGGCTGTGGTCAGCAACTCGCCATCAACGCCGACAAGATCCCGAGTTAGCGGGGCGAGCAGCTTGGGGTCGTGGAAGGTAAGATGGCAGGCTGTCACATCCCTCTTGCCACCGCTGTGTTCGAGCGCATACTTGGCCACTGTCGCAGCGGCGTCGCAGAAGACAGTCCCCGAAGCAAGCCCGATCTGCTGCATCTTGTGGCCATCAATCACGCCCAGGAAGCCGTGATCGGAAATGCCGGCTCGGAAAGTGATTTGAACCTGGCCCTCAGGTGTCAGGGCCTTGTGAACGAGGTACTGCGCCGTCGTGGTAAGGAAAGGTTCGGACGCAACCGTCTTTGCAGCAGCAGCAGCAGCAGGAACTAGCGAGCCGCTGTTCTTGTCGGTATGCGTGATCCAGTAGTCCTTCACGTCCCACGCATAGGTCGGGAGTGCCAACAACTCGAGGCTGCTCTCGTACGGCGCATGCAGTGCGAGCCAGTCCACGTCAACACCGCTCATGTAGGCCGCCACCAGGGACTTGGAAACAGCCACCCAGTTGCTGTTGTTTGCATCAATCGTGTAGTTAATCCTGGCGGCTGGCGGCGAGAGTGTGGCCCGTACAAACGAGCTGCATACCGGGCCAGGGCCGATCTCGAGCCAGAAAGGGTCATCGCTCTTAAATGCGGCCTTGACGGCATTGAGGCCACCGTAGAAGTCGACAGCCTGCCGCGTCTGTCGCACCAGGTAGTCCTCGTCAAAGACGCCCGGTATATCGACCACGGACGCAAGCAGTGTTGACGCCACTGGGATCTTAGGTGGTAGATAAGTCACGCCGCTCGCAATGGCCTTGTAGTCCGGCAAGATGGTGTCCATCTGGAAGGAGTGGAACGCAAATGGCATAGAGAGTATCTTGGTGCGCGTACTAGCGTCCTGGGTGGTTATGTTTGTTTGGATATGTGCCAGGTCCTCGGCCGTCCCGCTGATGACCGTGGCGCTGGGGCTATTTATACATGCCACTCCACAGGATGAGTCCTTAAGACGGGCGAGATGATCTCGCACCATCGCCGCGGACGCCGACACCGAGAGCATGGCACATGAGTTGGGCTCGCATCGCTCCAGGAGCAGAAGGGCACGCTGGCCAACGAGGTACAGCGTGTCCGTCAGCGAGAGGACCCCGGCCGCGTGCAACGCGGCATACTCGCCCAGACTGTGGCCAATGACCATGGCAGCTTCAATACCCGTCGATCGCCAGAACGCCGTGAGAGCAATCTCTAGCGTGGCGACGGCAAGTTGGACTTGCGCGGCATTCTTGGTGGACACTTCGACGGAGTCGGTGGTGATGATATCCAAAAATGGCGGGAACTGGTGTGAAGCGCAGATGGCTGCGCACAGGTCGGCCGTCTTGCGGAAGACGGGGCTTGTCCGATACAGCTCGCTGCCCATGCCCGCGTAATGGGAGCCCTGGCCAGTGAAGGCGAAGACAACGGGAGGAGGCACTGCTTTTTTGGTCGAGCTGGCGCGCTGGATCTCAGCCTCAAGCTTGGAAATGCCCTCTTGTAGCGTAGTAGCAGCGAGCGCAAACCTGATCGGGTGATGTACTTTCCGGGCTGTCGTCGAGTAAGCTACGTCCTGGATCCGAGCGTTGGGATTTGCGTGAAGCCACGCGGCGAGTCGACGCATGTTGGCGAGGTGCGATGAGGGTGTCCTGGCTGAGCTTGTGATAACGTGGCTTGATCGGATGTCAAGTTCCCTTTGTCTAGCGAGCCTGGCCGGATCTTTCTTATACTCTTCAATGAGAACACTTGCATTACCTCCCTGCAAATATGAGATGTCAAAGGTTAGCCTTTTTTGTCTTCTCGAAAAAGGCACCGTTTGTACAGGATGACTTACCGCTGCGTCGAAGTTATTAATAAGAATGCGTTTCGGCTTATCATCCAGTGATTTAAACTCAGTTGGCCTGGTGGCAATCACAACGCTGCTCTCTTTCCCCAGAATCTCCAGTACGTTTGGGTTCATGGCGTGTGGCATGCCGGCCTGAGGAGGGATGATGCCCTTTTGAAGCATGAGAACGCTTTTCAGCAGCGAGGAAAGTCCAGCAGCCTAACATAACATAACACAGGTCAGCAGCTCTCACCAGTTTCCCTTCAACTACCGGGCCTTCTTCAGTTGCTCAGTTTGAAAGACTCACCGCTTCGCTGTGGCCAATATTTGCTTTGATTGCTCCCACCGGCAAAGGATTCCCAGCCGGTCTCGGCAAAAAGACCTTTGAAACCGCACCCATTTCTGCCTTGTCTCCAACCTGGGTCCCCGTTCCGTGCATCTCAATATATGAGACATCATCAGGGTCAAGTCTCGCATTCCGGAGGACCTTTTTAAAGAGACTCTCCTGGGCATTTGCGTCGGACGTTGTGATAGACGTCGCGTTGCCAGAGTGATTTCTGGCTGACGAGGCAATGACCGCAAGGATATTGTCGTTGTGGGCGACGGCATCCTCGAGACGCTTCAGGATGAGGGCGCCGCTAAAGTCGGCGCGGCAGTACCCGTCGGCGTCATCACGGTACGTCTTACAGTTGCCTGTTTCGGATAACACACCGGCCTTGCTCAGAAATGTGAATGAATGCGGGTCAGACAAGATGGTGGTGGCGCCCGCAACGGCCATATCGACATCCTTTGATAACAGACTCATGCAGGCGAGGTGGATCGCTGACGTGGAGCCCGCGCAGGCCGAGTCCAGCGCGTAGGTTGGCCCCTCCCACTTCATCTGGAAGGCCAGCCGGCCCGGGCCAAAGGCGCGTTGGACGCCCTGAAGCGTGTAAGCATCGCACCCCAACGCGTGGTGGCTGACCTTAAGCCAGTCGTCGAAACTCTGTGCGAAGAAGACGGCCGTCTTGTTGGGGTCCGTTGTTCTTGTCTGGCCCGCCGAGTAGCCGGCCATTTCGAGGGCCTCGTACGCGCTCATAAGGAAGTGTCGGTGTACCGGTTCCATCAGCAGGGCCTCCCGCGGCGAGATGTGGAAGAATTTGGCATCGAAGTGGCCGGGATGCTTCATAAAACACCCATGTTTACATGTCATGGTGCATTTGCCCGGGCTGTGCTTGGTACAGAAGTACTCATCCACGTCCATCCGGTCGGCGGGGATCTCTTGGTGGCAGTCTTGACCTGTCGCGATGACGTTCCAAAACTCGTCCAGGTCCTCGCTGCCAGGTCCTTTGCCAGACATTCCGACGATAGCAATAGCGCCCTCTCGAACACTCTCACCTTTACTTGACGACGACTGCAGGTCATCGTCAACCGACACCTGTCTTGTTGCTTTGAGTACACCAAGAATATATGCCGCATGGCAACTGGGGCCCATCATCTTGACGCCGACATGTTTATACGATGTCCCGAGGCAGGCGTTGAGATTGCTCACGATCTTCACAAGGTCCAAGCGTTGTGATAGGGTCTGTAACGCCGCAGCCCTCAGTAGATCACCCCAGCTGGAGTAAGATGTGTTTGCGTCGTCACCGGTAATGCCCCAGACTTTTAGTTCAGGGCGAAGTTGCATTCCTAAGAGAGTGGAATTCCCAACGACATAATCCATGTCGGCCGCGGAAACGTCAAGTGTGTGCTGCAAACCGCGAATACCGGGCAGCTCATTATTGGGGCGCTTCTTCAACTCGGGGCACTGGGTAAAAATGAGCTCTAAGACGGAAGGTGGTCCTATGATGGTGTTCCAACGGTCTCCTGTAAAGCCAATCTTGGCTCTTTTGGAAGAGGGGACGCCCTAATCATGCGTTGTTTCAGATTAGTATATCACGATCAACAGTTTTTCGATTGTTCCAGAAATTGCATACCATGCCATGTTGAAATTTCTCAAGTGTAATTTCAAGCTCATCTGGAGCGATACCCAAGACAGCCCGGCCCCAGACTCCTGGGCGGTCCTCCCTAGCTCTTGACCGCGAAAATATGACGCTGCAGAGTCGAACCCAGACCCGACCGGCTTCGATGGAGGAATCGTACAGAGTGTTGAAGTTCTTCGAGATTGGCACGGCAACAGCGTTCCATAGACCAGCAGATATGCCGACCAAGTGCGTGTCGGGCCTGCCGTTCTCACCTGGATGGAGCAACACTGGCTCACGGTTCGTAGTCCTTTAATTTGGGACGTGAAAGTCAGCCAGCGGTCAACGTCAGATTTTATGTTATATAGGGGTAACACACTCCAATAATAGGACGGCTCTCACAGTGTAGAGAAGCATGGCGTGGACCAGGCCAACCTGGTCCCTCGAACGGCGATATTTCTGGGCGAGCTCTTTGAAGTTGGAACAAGCCCCGAAGCTCTCCTTTAAGAAGCTGTCCATGCCTATTACCTCGGCCTTGAAGGCAGAGAACAAGTCGTCCAAGAATGATTGGACCCATGGCGTCGTTGAGGCTTGGCTAAAGACATAGTCCATGCCACCAATCCATGCGTCTGTGAGGTCCCCAAAAACGAGGACAATGGGATGAGTTGAGCCCATGGTAGATGTGTGTTTCTGGCTTCTGAGTGAGGTAGATGGGTGTCGAGGCGATGATGAATCGCTACGAACAGTATATCAGACAATCTAGGGCACGAAGGGTGCTTAATGTCAATAGAAGAACCCTTCTCTCCCTCCAAGTCTCAAGTTGCTTCAACCGTAATGTAACTGTTCCAGGTCAACACCGATCCCGTAATTATTAACATGATCTTATTCCCGATCATATTGATTTTATGACGGCCCCCGCCGTACCCGAAGCGTCTCCTTTGACATTGTTGATTTCCCGATCTCACCTCTAGGGCTTCCAAAAAGGTCGCATCCCCGATGAATTATGTCAGCTCGCCCCATCGTGCGAATCCATTCCCGCCGGGAATGTCGTATTGCGCTTTGCAGGAATTGTTCCCCACCCAGCGTGACAAGGGTATCAGACCAAGGTACTTTTGCGCCTTGTTGATTGCGCTTTGGTCGCCATTTGCCGTTCCAGTATTATTTCAATCTCAGAGATAGGCATGCTCAGCCTAATTGGCTAGTCGTTCTAGACCCAATTCAGCTCCCCGGTCACTGGTTGAAAACTCAAACAGACAGGCGACTTGAAATCCAGGGGTGGAGGGCGCAGCGTAGTGACTTTTCAAAAGGCATGACCAACTCTAGGCAATCAAGGTAGTCAATTAAGGACTCAGCAAAACTTGCGGTGGTACTGTCTAGTTATGGCTGCCACCAGTTAGGCAGTTGGTTGAAGTCACCTGCAAGCATAATGAATCGAGAAAAGTAGGATTCAGGTAGAGCTGTAACGGCTTCCATAGCATCATCTTGCCGAATGAGGCACTAGAATGACTTTGAGCCACTGCAGTGAGGCCAGAGCTCCCTGCAAGCGCGTTACAAGGCTGGAGGTCTTCGGGTGGTGCTTGTCTAGATAAGCTGCAATCAGGCTGAGGTTTTCCTTTTTGGGGCTCTAGTAGCAGTAATAGGGCGTAGACAAATATTCCAGCGTTTAAACCGACAATCATGCTATAATCGTCGAAAGAATTTTTACAGCGAATGTGTGATATGGGATGGAAGGTTGTGAAGTTAAGGTTCCTCACATGCGCGGGAACAGCCGGCGCTTGTAAAAGCTTTGACCTCTACGGTTCGCAGCTTGTCCCAAGTCCTGTGTAACAGATGACGAGTCTATATTTTCTGTTGTGGGCTATATAAAGAGGGATAGTCAACTAGGATGTAAAGGCAGCAAGCTGCGATTACACCTAGGACAGTTATTTACATGGCAGGGATCATACCGGTAAACATCCAACACAGCACAGATAGCGTGGGAACGCCCTAGATACCCGCATCGGCCTGCGGGAAGGGCATAGTCGGCTCCCACGCATCCCACGCGTCACATACAGGGTCAAGCTGCTTGGTCCAATCACCTCCTACCACCCCGGGAATTAGGGCGGGCGACTCGACAACCGTCGCCCCGAAGCCCTGGCTGCTATGCCAGGCAATGTGGCAGTGGAAGGCCCAGACACCCGGGTTGTCGAGCGGCCATGCAATAGCCAGGTATCCGTTGGCAGGCAAGGTGGCAGTGTCCCGACGTGGCGGGTTCTTCAGCTGCCATCCGTACGTTGACCCAGACCACTGCTCGTAGCCGGCAGCGAGGATGAGGAAGTCATGCCCGTGGAGATGCATGGGGTGGGAGATGCCCTGGATGGGTCCATGGTCCTCGATGACGAGGATGGCCCATTCCGTCTCGTCACTTTGCGATGCGGCCGACGACGTGTTGGCACCAACCTGGAATACGTTGTCCGACAGGGGAATGGCGTCCAAGTTTCCAGATATGACATCTCCCAGAGCCGGGTTAGACCAGTTCACCCACATAAACGAACCCCCGTTGATGGACCATCTGAGATGCGTGTGGTTGTCAAGCCACTCTGGCTTGAATGTCTCAGTCTGAACGCCATCCTTTACGGACGACATTTCTAAGTCGATTGGAACCCACGGCTCCAAATTTGTGGGCTGTTCATCTAAACAGAAAGCTAGACCCATCACCACAGTGTTCACGCTCGATTTTGTCGGCATGGCGGTGCTTTCATTGTTATACCTCACAATGGCGGTGATGTTATCGGCCCCTGCGCCGTTGAGGATACAATTATGCTCGAATCCACTGCGCATCCAGTAATCCCCCGGCGGCGCGTTTGCCTCAATAATGACGTCGTACCGCTGCCCCATACCAACAAATATGTTTGTTGTCTGGTACGGCACGATCGGCACAAAGTCGGTCGCAATCACCGTCAAGGTGTGATTGTCGATGCTGAACTGAACCCAATCCTCTTCCGCCACATTGAGGAGCCGAAGGCGGTACTTCTTGCCTTCCTCAAAGAGGAGCTCGAACTTCTTGCCCTCGCCGAGGCATCTCGGGTCCAGGTTCGTCGCATTGTTTGCCACGCAATCGCCCGTGTTCATGCCGTTGAATAGCCCCGTGTCGGAGCCATAATATGTGACATTGCCGTCGGCGAGTGTGGCCCAAATGTAGTCCGTTGTTTCGTGGTCCCAGTCTGTGATAAAGACGGCCCCGAGGTCCTCGTCATAGTCGGCCGTAGCCGGGCCGTTGATGATCAGCGCCCCGTACAGTCCATTGCTATACTGCATGCTAAAGTGACTGTGGTACCAGCTGGTACCGTACTGGTCGGCATGGAACTTGTACGTCTGGGTTTTTCCGGGTGCGATGGGACATTGCGTGACCCCGGGTGTCCCGTCGGCTATGTTGTTGTTGAGCAGCCGCGCACCATGCCAGTGCAGGGACGAGCCGTTGGTTGCAATGTTGTTGGTTACATGAACGACGATGTCGTCGCCCCAGTCGGCTACGATTGGTGGGCCAGGTATGGTCCCGTTGGCCATCACGCATTTCCGTTGGTATCCGTCCGGTGCGCAGTCGGTCTCCTCGAGAGTCAACCAATACTCAACTGTGCGGTTCGTGTAGGGGATAGTGTCGTAGTAGTTGGTATTGATGTCGTACTCCCCCCAGCATTGGCGGGATGTCGGGCCGTTCTTGCATCCCTTTGTCAGGCTGCCGGTGTCACGGACTGAAAGAGGCGGAGATTGAATGGCTGAGCTGGGGATGGAGATAGCCGTGGCCCCTGCTACTGCGAGGGCGAGCAGGCAAAGTAAAGAACGTGCCATGGTAACGAACAGCGAGTGACTCTTTTGCTCGGAGAGAATTCGATCTTCGAGAAAGATTGCAGCCTTTTGAAAGTAGCCATAATGACCATAGCAACTTATTAGATTGCGGCTCAGAAGACCACATGGTGTTCCTGAATTCCCCTGGCGTTCTTGGCACAGGCCATTGCCCTTTTCCAAGCTCAGGGCATCATGTTGCCCGACAAGATGAACTCGGGAATATAAATCGGGGATGTAGTTCGGGGATCAGCTGACACGAGCACTATTCATTTACCTATTTGGGAAAGAATCATCAGTGTTGTAGTAGCCCTGAAGTATATGCAAGATATAGTTTAAATCTCTCTTTACCACCAATTGGAAATATGTTAGCGACAGAGGGGCTATGGGGAATGTTTTGAAATTGCTGAACTGTATGTAAATAATAATTACAGCTAGTGCTCGGTCTACGGGCTGCATAGTGGATTATCTCCGGACCCACGTTGCCACTGCAGGTGCAATAAAGCCGAAACCCCGAGGTCCTGATGCTTACAAGGAACATTACAGCTCTCAGCTATGCACGTTGGCAAGATTGAAGCTTCAGATTAATATTATTGTAAAAATAAAATCCACCTATCATTCTATTTGATTATCCATGATTTACGATTCATATCACCGTCTTACACATCAACTACCAATTCTGATATGACAACAGTGCCGAAGAAGACCGTCTTGATCACGGGCTGCAGCACGGGTGGCATCGGCTGGGCCTTAGCCAAGAACTTTCACCAGCGAGGGTTCTACGTCTTTGCCACGGCACGTAATCCCTCTAAGGCCGCCGACCTGGCCGAGCTAAGCGACATCGAGATCCTCGAGCTGGACGTGACTGATCCAAAGACTATCGTGGAGTGTAAGGAGAGAGTCGTGAAACGCACGAATGGGAAGCTTGATGTTCTAGTCAATAACGCTGGCGTCGAATTCAACAGCCCGCTACTAGACACCGACGTCGACGAAGCGAAGAGGCTATTCGACGTCAACGTATGGGGCCCTCTTGCTATGGTCCAGGCGTTTGCTCCCTTGCTTATCGAGGCCAAGGGGACTGTCTTCAATCAGAGCTCTATTGACGGGGCGCTAAATATGGTATGGGCTGGTAAGTTTCCATTAGCTAGCGCTTGCAGCTTTCTCTCTCCCCTTCCCCTCGGAAGTCAGGCTAATGTCACGCTCTTGATCAGGTATTTTCGCCAGTTCAAAGTCCGCCATGGCGCGCATGTCTGAAATCCTGCGTTTTGAGCTCGAACCACTGGGCGTGCGCGTCGTGACGTCCATATGCGGCTCTGCCGATACGCCTATGTTCGCGAAGCCCGGTGGTCCGATGAACCTGCCAGAGATGTCGCACTACCACGGCGTCCAGGACGCGGCATGGAAGGAGCGGATGGACCATCAGCGCCAGGCCACGCAAGTTGATGTGCTCGCCGGAAAGCTGGTCAAGGACATCCTCGGCGGGAATAGGGGCGTTATTTGGCACGGGGCGTTCGCCCCATCAGTTTATTGGGCTAGCTGGTTGAATCTAACGTGGCTTTTGGATAGGTTGATTAACTCGGCACGAGGCTTGAGTCAGGTCAAACTCAAACAGTCCTAAGGACACGGCCCTGCATGAAATAAGCATTTGGTCATGCCAGATGTCAACGAAATTTAACTCAGAAAGTGTGAATGAAAGGGTTAATTGCCAACATGTTCGGTCCGCTATAAACGCCCGATGTCATCACCTTTAAAAGTAGAATTCCGCAACGAGATCACAGTAAACGCATTGCGCCAGGCCACGTGCGTACTTGTTGAACTATTACGGATCATCCCTTTCAAACGACATCCTTTTAGTTCAAGCCATTGAAGAAAACTGTTGAAGCTGAGTGTCTGCACATATAAATATTATAAATATATGTATTAATCTAGGTATCAAATCAGATTACCCTTGTGTCCGTGATAAGATATATTTGTCTGGTAGAGGACGGAGAAGACATAGAATCATAAGATTCAATGAGAAAGCGAGAGAAGAGGGTACAGAGGGAAGTAAAAGAGAGAGGAGCAGAAACTATCTACTACGCAAACATCTCTAATATCTTGGCACGCGGCAAGCGGGCCGGCGAGCTACTTCTCTCTTATAATCTGGCTCATTTCCTCAGCACAACTTCCAACAGAGCCGACTGCCCCTGTCCATGCACATTCTTCAGCTCGAGTCTCTCATCAGCCGCCTGGAACAGGTCCTCCCATTCGGCTCGAGTGCGCTCCTTAGCACCCAGTCCCACCAGCATCATGATGTCCTGCCGACGCATTGCACGCTCCTCATGCAGCGGCGTCCCGTCACCCAGGCAAGGCAGCACTCTGTCGCTGATCAGCATAGGTGTTCCCGCAGGTGATGCCTCAAGACCGGGCACTAGGGCGCGGAGGATAGCTATCGAGTCGGCATCCGCCCAGTTATGGAAGACGTGGCGGAGGAAAAAGGCTGCGACAGCGTTGACTGGCTGCTGCGGCTGGAAGAAATCATGCTGCTGCATCTCAATACGGCTGGCAAGAGCCTGGTCTTCCTTGCTAAGGACGCGTCGGCCTTCATCGAGCATTTTCTCGCTATCCTGGACGCGGAAAGAGAGATGCGGAAAGCGGCGCGCCAGCGCCATTGAGACGTGTCCGCTTCCGCCGCCCACATCGACCACTGTGCCCTTGAGGGTGTCCCATGGGAATATGTCACCAAGTGTATTGGGTTTGCGGTCGACTGGGGGGAGCAGATTTGTTAGCCACTGCCATTGTCAAAGTATAAGAATATCCGGGCTTACTTGTTGTAACACCCGCCATGGCTTTAGCAAACCGGGCAGCGTACTCTGGGTTTTTCTCATAGTAGTCAAACATGGTCTCACCCAGACGTGTCGTAAAGGGCGAATGGACGAGGTCCGACACTTGAGGGGAGGCCTTGATGCAATCGGCCGTCGAAGATGCGGACTTAAACATGTCATCCATCCTGCGTGCCAACAGACATAAGTTCTTGTATTTGGGTGTGCAAGAGGGGGGAAGGAAGCTCACGAATACTGTCCGAGCCCTATCAGGTTCTCGTCTCGCCCGAAGGCCACGCTGCATGCCGTGTGTGCAAACCAGCCCTCCTTGACCTCGCGAAAGATGCGATGCGTGCATAAGAACCTCAGTACCTGCCGCGTCCGGCCTACGTCTATGCCCGCCTGTCGGGCGATTTCTTCCACGGCAATGCCCTCTTCTTCCGCCACAGGCACAATAGTAAAGAAGCCAAACTCAAAGGCAACCTGGAGGGCGGCCAGATCATTGCTCGAGCCCATCAGGCCGCGCATTGTAGTCCGCGGGCCGACGACGAGCAGACGTAGATCGTCGAGCGAGGCCACAAGTTTGCTGCGCAGGGCAACATACTCGGGTGTATCAGGCAGCTCCGGCGAGTTAGGTAAAAAGTCCGGAGCGGGAAGGTTCTGGGAGCCGAGCAGCGTCTTGATGTTGGCCGCGTGGTTTACAATGTCCAGAGCAAGAGCGAGAATATCGGTGGAAGCATTCATGTTGTCGTTTGGTGACGCCGATAATTGCGTCGGTGTGCTAATCGCTAAATTGGGTGACATTATTAAGTCTGTAATGAACTTAATAAAACCTCAAATAGTTTGAAGAGTATGCAGCCCCCGCTATGAAGCTGATGCCCGAGAAAAGGTGATTACTACACGGGAACAGTAGGCCGCCCTCGGGAATCCACCTGCCGGGGAATCCATGGTTGGTATCCGGTCACGAAAGTTTGATGTGATCGTATCTATTTTCGGTCATTCGTTCGCTATGTACATACTAACGTGTTCCATGGGCCACACCCTTGCAATTGAGGCCAAACCATTAATCAAAACGAATAGTTGATATTCCTATCTATAATTGTTCTTGCAGTATGTATGGCTAAGCCCTATTTTTCCCGCAATTTGAACAGAAGTCCCAAACCTGATTGGTCAATTGGCTAGTACTTCACGAAGTCATCAAGCCCGATAATGACAAGCGTATCGACGAGCAGGCCAGTCTTCTCAGCAACTCCAGCCAAGACAGATCAGAACCCCCTGGAATAAGTTTCAACAATCGTATGACCCGACCTCCTCAAACAAAAAACGAAAAAGAAATTGCTATTCTAAGCGCCCATCACACATACTATGCAAGCACTGAATCCATGGTCTCATCTCTGTTAGGCACCGAAAACATCCTCTTGACATCGCCGGCCTTCCGTTCAAGCCACAACCGCGTATAATCGCACGCAATCACAAACGCCATATGCCGCGATGGATCTGGGAGGCTGGAAAGCTCAGTGTGCAGGTCCCGAAGATACACTGTAAGCTGTGACAGCAGTCTCTCCAGCTTGCGAAATGACAGCTGATACAGCCTCTGTCGGAGGTCCATCTCGTCATCTTCTTCCAATTCGAGTACGCCCAACGATAGCCGGGGCTCCATAAGATCTCTCAGGGATATGTTGCTGTTACTTGGAGTGGCGATTCCACACTTGCTCTCCCCCTCGGTGTTTCCCAATGTCACCATCTCGGCTGCCGACTGTGACGACGATGACCTGCGCAGCGAGGAATCGCTGGCGAGCATTTTGAAGTCGTCAATAGCGTAGCCTATTAGCATAGCAACAGCCATGATGTGAATTGGCTCGGAGTCGTCGCGGGGGTGCGTGCATCCCATCGACATCTCGGATGATACAATGCACTGCTTTAGCCTGGCGAGTTGTGCGTCGAGCGATAGCCGCTGGTCCTTACCGGCGCCACGCATCGATGCCAGCAGCTCCGTGACGCCTGCGTGGCAAGTGCATTCGCTCTCGCCATTCAGCGCCTGATACGTCCCCATCTCAGTGTCATCGCTATTGAGGTTGGCACCGAAGAGGGAGTCCAGATAGGATGTGGGGTCTGGTGTCGGGAAGTACCCAGGCACCATGGTGCTGCCGGTGGCTAGGCTATTAAAGTCCAACAGCTGCGTGAAGCTGTACATTGAATTGGTTTCGATTGGCGTCGGAAACATGTAGTCGTCGAGAAGACTTTTTGTATTATCATTGTGCGCCTCGTCCGGCCTGTCCAGCATTGCAGAACTGTTGGATCGGGACGCAGTTTTACTCGGACTGTTGCTTTTGGGACTGGAACTGGTACGAGGATCGGAACCGCACTGGGGCCGTGGAGCCCTCCTTCCCCGCTGCGACGGAGGGATAGAGATAGGCGGCGCGTCCTTGTGTGTCCTCCGCGACAGACCGTAGATACACTCAATTTGGTTGCGCTCGCACCTAGTGCAACTCGGCTTTCGCTGGCTGCACCGCACTTTCGACTCGTTGCAGGCGTTGCAAGAGGCTCGTAGTCGAACTTTGTTTTCTTCTACCATTGCTGGCCAACTCAGCACTGTTGTCATATTCGATAAAAGATAAAAGTTAGCAGGCGCCTTACACCCAACTATATATTGAAGGGGCAATGTCGAATAAAGCGGCTTCTGTGGAGCTTAGTGTTTCTTATGTATGTTGAGATAACTGTGCTGTACATCAGCACAATTACCCGTGTCACGCCTTGCTTTTTTCTTTGGCCACATAGGGCCACCAATTCAACTTAGTGCTGACGAAAAAGCGAACAAACAATCAAACACCCCACCTGAAGGACTGCACTCAGTTCGTATCCGTCCGAATTGAGTACATCGTACGTTGCTTTTCGTGTAGATCCTGGTCTTCGTCTCCGGGGTGGCTGACTTGAAGGATTTCCTGTACTCATTGTCGATTGGTTGGCGGATCTCTTGGCATCTGCAACTAAATGTCCATGATCAGTAAAAATGCTTATTCGTGGGCGCGATCGAGTTGATAATGGTAGCAATTTCTAGGTGGCTCTTCGGAGGGTATTTCTAGTATCTTAATCAATGCATATGGCTAGGTTCATGCACCAAAAGGAAGATTAGCGATGCGTGATAGAATACCAGGATGCATTATTCACTTGGAACTAAGCCGCCCAATACCTTTTGTAACTTGCAGATACCGCAACGCCACCGATTCTAGGCAGCATTTCGAGATTTGCAATGCACGTTCCAATCGTCAGCACTGCCATTCGGCCCCTCCGCCGCATCCGTTCCCGTTTTTGTTTCACTTATAATTGGGGGCGGAGAATGCTGGCTTGCCTCCACGGCTTTCGGGGCTTTCGGGGCTTTCGGAAAGTCAGAGCACTGGAAAGTTTGAGAACAGCCGGTGGACCTCTAACAGATGAAATGACTTGCTGCTTACGATTGCTACTCTTTAGTATCCGTAGATATCCAATGACTACCTGCATATGGTTACATCTGCTCTTATGCAGGCTATCTTGTATCTTTGAGTATTTAATAACGACCATGCATTTTAGATAGCCCATACTGAAAGATGTCCATGTATTCGTAAAAGTATCTAGTTTAGGACAGGGAGGAGTAGGATGTATCGGCTCTGGCAACCCTCCTACAAGAGAGAGGGATAGAGACGATCTTGGTATTTCCAGCACAACGGCCTAATCGGGGGAATACACCATTGGAATTGATCAATTTGAATCATGCTTAGGTCCAATATTACGACGACCGAATAAACGTATTTCTGGCAATGAGATTTATGGCTTACTCTACGTACTCAATTGCCACTGGGAGGTAGAGAGTAAGCGTGTAGTGGGGCCGAGATAGGGGTCTTCAGTGCTCTGACCCCGGGTTGTGCCGCGCGCGGCCCGTTTAAACTTTTGGCGGAAGCAGGCAGATGATATGACAGCTTTGGCAACACTACTATAAGAGAGTAGTACAAACGAGTTTCATCCTCAGAACTCCGGTTCATTTGGCGCAACAATCTAGACGGAGAAATACTCCCTTCTACTTATTCAGATCGTGAGCGAGGCTGAGACATCGGAATCTGTCCGGGGAGGCTCCAACTAGTTGCAGACAACAGCGCTTAACACGAGCCTAGACCCCTGAATGACGTGGGTCGGAGTCCAAAAATGGGAGCCGAATCCTCATGCGAATTTCCTTATCAGACCCTTATTTGCATAACTCTTCCAAGAACTCCGCCAACTGAGGGGCTGAACTGCACTATCTACACACAGACCCTGAACACATGTTTCACCTTGTCAGGACGATCAAGCTTTAGGTTGATTGAGCCAAGTTCTAAGCCAAGTACCGAGCCAAGTCTTTCTGTAGATCAAACTTATTTATGATACGCTAAAACTAACTACTAACTTGGTCATGTTAGAGGACATAAGTACGAGATACACCATCAAATTCAAGAATTGTCCCATTTTCCTAATCTGACAGCAATTGAGGGCCCCACAATTGTCATATCGACCTTGCAGGAACTATGAGACCCCGCCGTCATGTGCAATTCCCATACCCTGGTATCCCCCAGACCTTCAACCAAAAATTATTTCGTCTGCTCGGTGAACAGGGGGGTGAGCAAGGGGCAATTCCCCAGGGTGTTCTCTCACCAGCATCCGGTATCTCCCGTCGTCCCTTTGCAGATTGGCGTTGGCGCCAAGGCTTCCTCCGTTCAAGCTCGGAATAACTTAATACTTGACATGATACTTGGCGAACCTTCATTGATAGCCTTTGCCCTTAGCTTAGTAGCTGCCTCTATCTTCGCCTTCTCTTTCCCTCCTCTCGGTTCTTCTCTCGGTAGTTCGAACAGTAATCCATCGGTACTACTGCTTCCTTCATTGATTCCGACCAACTTGTTGAGCCCGGAGGCTCGTAGAGGTGCCAATAAGAAGTCCATTTTGGATTGCCTTTCAGAAATATGATTAGGACCTCAATTAACGAATATGACGAACAAGGGAAAGAGCAGGAAGCAAATGAAGAAACAAACGAAGGAATCCAGACACGATATACAAGGGACTCCATAAAACGGCAACCCGTCTTTTAAAAGGAGCCTAGTGTCATCTTTGGCCAGTGCGCGTCTTGTAATCATCCTCATACACTACAATCAAGACGAAATCCAGAATCCCCTTGCTAAGTTAAACAATCTCCACCAAATAAGCCTGACTCCGGTCTTCTCTGCAATGGCATTTAGATATCTCTTCCAGCTAGGTTGGAACTGAAGTGCTAAGCTAAGTCCAAGTAATCCCCTTTGAATAAGCGCTTCGCGTTTCCGCTCTTTTGCAGATTCGATTGGAATGTACTCTGCATTCAATGCCGACTCCTCTGTTCTCTTCCTGAAGTTATAAGCCAGAAGGACCACTGTAGGAAGACATTGTGCCAACAGCTGAAATGAGATTATTAAAAAGTTCGTGTCGGTTGAGTTCAGGTGGACTCTACATCCTCCAGATTGATATCAACACATGGTTCGTTCATCATATGGTTCGTGGCCGTATACCATGTAGTAAAGAAGAGTTCCGACTGCGTGCTGGTCAGTTCTGGCATCACAGAGGTCATAAGCGTCCGTCAACGGTCCAACGGGTAGTTTCTTGACCGATGGCGCATAAAAACGTTCAAGGAATTTCCCAATGGCCTTAGCTTGCTCAGAATCTGCCGGTCTCAAATTGAGATTATTATCAAGAAGACAGGCGTAAGAAGCCCATTTTTCTTCACATATTCGAGAGCGGAGTTAATTTGTCGGATCCACCGAGCAATGAGAGCGTTATCCTCATACTCGATCACACAGATAAGATGCGGCAAGCGATTTAGAAGTTCTTCTTGGGTTTGATTTCGAGGATATCGATAGTAGAGGTCATTACAGTCGCAATATGACAGGAGAAGATGGTCAAGGAGCGCAAGTAAACATTCGACAATATCGAGGCATCAATCACCACGCTTGTTAAAGCATTCATAAGTCTTGGTCCATGAGAAAGGGGTATCCTGCCACTCAGACACTTCGGACCGGACAGCCTTCACCACAATAGCGCGACTGACGGTGTAGACAAAAGACGCACTTCCGCTCCCAACACGATGATTCTGCTCAACAATGTCAGAGTATGGCGATGGCATGGCGACCTGGACTGTCATAGCGACGCGGGTTGGTAATAAGAACTGAGCTGACCGTTGAAGAATCCACAGGAAACACTTTTCGATGGTAGGTTAGATATTGAGGAATGTGTTAATAGGTAAACAGCAAGCTGACCTTAGAGGCTATATATATATACATGTAGCAAAATACTCGACCCTCGATTATAACTTGGGGAAAAAGTAAAAAAGAAGAAAATATACAAATCTCACAGTATTACATGCCTGGCCCACCGTCACATTCCATGCTGCATCCAAAATGCCCCTGAATTCTGTCGTCTAAGCAAACAGTCTACAATTGCCGGTGCTAGGGCTCATCTCTTATCCTCTGTTCTACTCCTTCAATTTCGTTTTTATACATTGCAATTTCGCGTTGAGTCTGCTGGAAGACCACAGAGACCAATATCGTGGACCAGTATTCTTCTGTGAGCATTGATACCTTCCAAGGTTCCTATATTTCTGATTTGGTGAGCTCATCGACGTCCATCCAAATTGAATATCCAACTGACGCATTCGACGCTCTGAACCTTCCTCTCAATACCTCCGTCATCTGGATCCATGAGCATCATCCTCCTAGGGTCAGTAAAGTCATTGATCAGTGTGCCTATTCTTGATTGCGTTTGCGTCAATGATTCTTCTGTCCTCAAGTATCTGAAAGAACCTGAGGAGGGCAGCAAGATCCAATTAGACGCTCGAATTCTCGAGACCCTTGGGAATCATCCTCGGAATATCAGATTTCACGGATTGACCAAACAGGGCCTCCTATTCGATCAGAGGCTATGTTGGTGCAAGCAGGCTGCTGAAGCGGTTAATTACATCCATGAGAAAACCGTCATCCACTGCGATCTCACCGGTCGAAACTTCTGCTCGATAACAACCTTGGTTTCCTGTTTGCGGACTTCCAGGGAGTCCTGAGATCAACTGACGGCAAAACATTAATTGACAGCCTATCTCGGGAGAATACCAAATACTGCTGCCCTCGTATACATGGGGATTATACAGATGCGAAGACTGGTATCTTTGCTCTTGGGTCTACTATCTATTCTATTATGATGGGGCATGAGCTCAAGCCTCTCATTGTCAAAGTGTGCGAAGAAGCTTCCATCATGAAACCTGGCGCAATTCTCAGCAAAACTCGGGGTTCCGGATCTCAAAAAAGTCGTAAAGATGGCTATTGTGTTTAATGATTCAGACAATATTAATAGGTACATGCAGGTGTTCAGGTTTGATGTCGTTGCTGCCGACTTGAACGTCATTCGTCAAAGATCGAATACTATTATCGAAGGATGGCCGACGCAGTTGAAGCTAAAGCTGGGATAAAGTGGTGCCAAGGAAGAGTTCCGTGCTATTTTGCGATCGAACCTTTCTGGTGCTGAGGATTATGTTGAATGGAGGAGAAAGTGACGGGGATTGTCCAATTGCAGTGATTGCAATGCGTTACAATCGGATGAGGCCCACCTTGGCTAGACTGTGAGTATGAAGCTATGGGCTAGCCACGGCAAGTTAATGGAATCTCCGAGGGTATTAGGCTTCTGAAGTTTCTCCACAGATTTCATATTCACTGGTTTTTCTCGTGTTATGTTATGGTTTCACTACTGGAGAGTTATGGAGACATAGATATGATGTTTTAACTAGCCAGGTACATTCATAATAATTGCCTATTGCCTATTAGCTGTGGTTATTCAGGTAACTATGTCCGGCATATCGTCAGTATACTTCGGAATGCGGGGAGATCACGTGGGTAGCATCGGTTAGCATCGGCGTGCGGGCAGAACACTCGATTGAATAAAGGGACTCAATGCTCTTTTCTCCTTTTCTCAACATCTTCTATGTCTCCTGTGTGTTCTATTCTACACCCTGGCACTTTGATCATGAGCTTCCGGCGCAGTGGGGGACTCCTCCCCCGCAACTTCCGACCTTGTCTACCCCAGAATCACCTCCGCATTCGCTCCACCTTACCGCCGCTCTTATCCCGGAGGTTTCACGCCAGCTCGCTGCTATGGGGGATCAAGTCACAGGTGTTAAAGGATGTTGGTGAAGGTATGGAGCATTTGGAAACCGTCTCATGTCTCAATTTGGTTGCTTATCGTTGCTAGGTATCACCGAGGTCCAGATCATTCAATGGTATGTGGAGGAGGGGGCGCATATTGAGGAGTGGAAGCCTTTATGTCAGTATCAGTCTGATAAGGCTGTTGATGATGTGAGTTGTTTCTGTTCGAATTGTCCCAATGGGGGCTAACAAGCCCAGATCACATCGAGATATGAGGGTGTTATTAAGAAGCTTCATTTCGAAGCTGACGACACAGTACCTACGGGGATGGTAAGTCACACATTTCCATGTTTCCCATCTATGTGAATATCTTGCTAACAAACTTGATAGGCACTCTGCGATATTGAAGTCGAAGATGGAAAATACCCCGACGATAACCCTCCGCACGAGCCTAGAGCGGATCCACCTGCCCCAGACTCCATTGTGGCTGCAACACAAGCAGCCGAATCCTCTCAAATATCCCCTCCTCCTGATATCCCAAAGGTGGAGATAGCACCCAAATCAAAGCACGCAAGTCTCGCAGTCCCAGCGGTTCGCGGACTACTGAAAAGCCATGGCGTGGACATCGTCCAAGTAAACGGAACAGGCAAAGACGGCCGAGTAATGAAACAAGACGTCTTCGACTTCGTCGCAGAGAGAGATTTACCAACTGGGTCAACGCCACTCCCGATCCAAGCCTCTGTGTCACCAGACACAAGACAAACAGAGTCAATCACCAGCCTGACCCCGATCCAATCACAAATGTTCAAGACAATGACCCGATCCCTGAATACCCCACACTTCCTCTACGCAGACGAACTCAAAGTCAACGACATCACGGCCATCCGCAAGAAACTCGCCAGCGACGCCCGCGACCCTAAGAGAATAACTTTCCTCCCTTTCGTCGTTAAAGCTGTCTCCTTAGCCTTAACCGACTACCCAATTCTCAATGCCAAGGTTGATGTTAGCGATCCTAACAAGCCCAAGCTAGTAATGCGCACCAAGCACAATATCGGGATCGCGATGGATACACCAAACGGTCTAATCGTCCCGAATATCAAGGACGTCGCCAGCCGTTCGATCTTCGATATTGCCGCTGAGATCGCGCGTCTCAGTGACCTTGGCAAGAGCGGGAAACTGACACCCGCTGATCTCAGTGGTGGGACTATCACCGTTTCGAACATTGGGAATATCGGCGGTACATACGTCGCGCCGGTTATTGTGCCGACTGAGGTTGCTATCCTTGGTGTGGGTCGATTGAGGGCTGTTCCGGTCTTTGATGATGCTGGCCAGGTAACAAGCGGGGATATGGTTAACTTTAGTTGGAGTGCGGATCATCGTGTTATTGATGGGGCGACTATGGCTCGGATGGGTAATCGGGTCCGTGAGCTAGTTGAGTCGCCGGAGCTCATGCTTTTGAAAATGCGGTGATTAGATCTTGGAATTGGTTAAAATACTGCATCTAGATGTTTATTTCAGGGGTTAGTCATTGTTGTGCCTGTCGCATGACTGCATGTATGTATGGCATGAAATCATATGGAATGAAATGAGCATCGATAAATTATCATATCTATGACCTTCGTCCTTCTATAATATAGTAAGCTCTCAGATGTGTGGACTACAATTGATGCTCATCCTTGGCAAAGAAAGAAGCTGATAAGGATAATGAAATTGATACAGACAATTCAACTGAGATCATTCGACAAGACACATGATATATCAGAAACCGACTGAAACCCCTCAAAAACGCCAAATCTAAAACAAACCAGCAACACAGCCAAAGCCAATCAACACCAAACACCAAGGAGAGGATCAACGAGACATAGTCAAAACAAAAATGCTAAAAGTCCTCGTCCTCTATGCAATCATACCCCCAGACGAAAGCTCATTCATATTCAGCCAGTTTCTCCGAAACAGCCTGAATAACATTCCTTTGCACGTCCTCCACAGACCCCTCAACATTGATGGTAATAGCATCCCACTCGCCCTTCGGCTCCTCCAGCGCAGCAAGCTGCGACTGCACCATACTACTCTTCATATAGTGCGACTGACGCTGCGTCACACGCTGCAGGAGGACCGCCTCATCGAGCTTGAGGTAGACGAAGTGGATCTGCACATTGGGCGAGCCGTAGGCGGCGACGCGCATCACGTCACGGTACTTTTGCTTTAGCGCTGAGCAGGCTACTACGACGCCAGCTGGGGGTGAGTTGTTGTTTGCTTCCGAGGGGGAGAGGGCTTCGATTGCGGCTTGGCGGAGGGAGATGAGCCAGTCCCAGCGGTCTGCGTCTGTTAGGGGGATGCCTTGGCCCATTTTTTCTTTGTTGGCGGCTGGGTGGTACTATGGGGTTGTTTGTGTTAGTTTATTATTTACTTTTTTGGGTTGCCTTTGGGGTAGATGTTGTCGCAATGATGAGTTGGATTGGGTTCGATTGCCTGTTCTGTACTTACGTCGTCGCCTTCTAGGAACGGGACGCCTAGGTGGGTGCGCAAGACGTTTCCGGCTGTGCTCTTTCCACACCCTGCTGGTCCGGTCACCACCCAGATGTGTTGCATTTGAGTATTCTTGGACTGGTCGTGCAGGGTGGATGCTCCGTTGGTGAGATCGGGCATGATGCGCGCCTTGCTCACAGGCACTGAGGTCGAGTCTACTTTGGAAGCGTGCGGAGGCTGGGGGCGTTCCCCGGCGGAGAGCATGGTGTCAGGAGGAGGGGGAATGTCCGTGGGAAATGATGATCTGGTATCAGTTCCAGGGAAATTCGGTTGGGCCGGTGGATGTATGACGATGTACTGATACACTGTACGGACTGGGGGTGTATATAGTGTGTACAACTGTAGATTGGAAGATAGCAGAGCAAGTGAAGAAGTGAAGAAAAGTCAGAAATGAAGAAATGAAGAAAAGGAGGCGTCGCGCGACAGGCTGAAATGCAACATTTTAACTATGACGGTGGGTCGTGGGGAAAAAAGAATCCAGCAGAAGCCGAGTGGGGGAAGATTGAGCCGATCTCTAAAGTCTTATTATATACACTTATATTCTGTGTTCCTTTCCTTCTGATATCTCTCTGCTAGATCTCAGATATGTTAATTAGAATGCTCAATTGAACTATTGACTTTAGTAAGAACCACCTACACCGTGCAATGTTGAACAGGAACAGGATCTGTATGATGTCACGTATTACAATACACACCCCCACGCTAAGACACCGCTGCTTTTGGCTCTTCACTTTGCCCTGATCCTGCTTCTCTCCCACGGAATTTGTGCCCACATTTCTTTTCCGTGTCTTGCTTCTCTCTCGCTGCTCTGTCCCGTGCCGAAACACCGATGTATCCCCCGAGTTCTCCTTGAGTCGACAACCCCCACACACTGGAATATAACGATCTACCCGAGACTCATACACGGATTGCCGAGACTCAATGCCGTGGGATTCCTTGAAACACAGGGAACACAAACATTCCCGGGATTATACGCTCATCCGATAGGACAGGGAAGAGGGGGGTATGCGGTTTCCCCCTCGTACAGCCACGCCGACAAGGCCCCTGATTGCCGTCTGACCAGCTAGTTTGCACTCAAAATCCGGGGAAGACAGACTCCTGCGGGGTAAACAAATCAAAGCCTTGCTTGGAGGGTATCAGCCAGTCCTTGGGGAGAGTCCATGTTGCCCCTTAACGGGAAGCGGATTCCGACTCCGCCGTTTTCCTGTTTATCCGCTATCCGGGGTATGCGGGAGAGTAATCTATGATACATCAGAGACGAGAATGGACTGCTGGTCCAATCGGTGGGAATTGCCAGTTATAGTAGTTCGCTTTATGCGGTGGATCTGACATGTCTGAAGTGCATCCCGTAGCGTTAGAGTGCAGCCTACGGGTAGTTTGTAGATCATGCATTCGTAACCCTTGGATACCAAGTCAAAAAGAAGACTACAAAGGAGTATGAACAAAAAATTACACCATTCAAATAGCATTTAGCTATATCCCAACGTATATCCCAATTGTATACTGCCATAAGTTAACTTAACTAACTAGTTAACTAACTTACTGCCACACTTTGGCCTGCAATGCAAGGCCTCAACATTTGGCTGCGGGGCGGTGTTACATAAGCAACCACTCCAGGCCACCGCGCGGCAGCTCCAGATCATCAAGCTTCTTGATTTGTGAGCTGCATCTGGCTCAATTCTCTCTCCCCATGGCGTCACTCTTCTTCTCCACCCCTGTCGACATCGATGTCGTCCTTGAAGACCTCGATGAGCGCCAAACCGTCGACGTCAAGCTCGACAAGGGCCGCCGCGAGCGGGTCCCTCTGTACATGGACGGCGAGTCCGTAAAGGGTGCCGTGACAATCAGACCAAAGGATGGCAAGCGGTTGGAGCATACAGGCATCAAGGTGCAATTTATTGGCACGATTGGTGCGTCCGGCATCCCCCGTGGGTTTTGAATGATGACAGCAGACTAACACGGGAGTGCACAGAGATGTTCTACGACCGAGGTAACCACTACGAATTCCTTTCCCTGGTCCAGGAACTCGCCGCGCCTGGCGAGCTGCTGCACCCGCAGACTTTCCCTTTCAACTTCAAGAACGTCGAGAAGCAATACGAATCCTACAATGGCATCAACGTCAAGCTGCGCTACTTTGTTCGCGTGACTGTCTCACGGCGCATGGCGGATGTCGTCCGTGAGAAGGATCTCTGGGTTTACTCGTACCGCATGCCCCCAGAAAACAACAGCCCGATCAAGATGGATGTTGGTATCGAGGACTGCCTGCATATCGAATTTGAATACTCCAAATCCAAGTATCACCTCAAGGATGTGATTGTTGGTCGAATTTATTTCTTGCTCGTGCGGCTTAAGATCAAACATATGGAGTTGTCTATCATTCGGCGGGAGACGACTGGATCGCCGCCAAATCAATATAACGAGAGTGAGACGTTGGTTCGCTTTGAGGTATGTGTTTCTTGGACATGTTGATATGCGGCTGCTGACTTGTATGCAGATTATGGACGGTTCGCCATCGAGAGGTTAGTGAATATCCTCCACCTGGGACCCCAACAAGGATCAATCTGCGGCTTGCATTTCTCGAAGATTGGCAAGTGCAAGGTCTGCTTTAACATAGCTGACTGCCCACAGGCGAAACCATTCCGATCCGGTTGTTCCTTGGCGGCTTTGATTTGACGCCCACTTTCCGAGATGTCAACAAGAAGTACTCGACGAGGTACTACCTGAGCCTGGTGTTGATCGATGAAGGTAGGTTGAACTCCATATACCCCTGCATCATCCCCACAATAGTCCATGAACGCCCCCATGCGGGGGATGAGGAGACGCAAAGACCGAGCAAATGTATGCCTGGAAAGACTGCAATAACCGACGGCAACTGAAATTGCCCAAGTGATTCAAGTCGGGCCGGTCTAAGTTGCCGATTTGCCTCCGAGTCTATTCCCACCCCCACGCTAGACCGCTCTTGGCATCGGCTCCACTGCTTTACAATACCATACTCCATACACTGCAATTAATTCACTTGAAATATACTAACTCAACCACAGACGCCCGTCGCTACTTCAAACAGTCCGAAATTGCACTCTACCGCCAAGCCCCCGAGATCGCGCCGAATGCCCAAATCGCCCAGCAGCAACAAATCCAGCAACAGATGCTGCTCGAGCAACAGCGTCAGCAGCCTGCTCTCCCACCTGGCTCTGCTACCGCCGGTCCTGGTAGAGAAGTCTCCACGCCTCTTCGGCAGGAGGCTCAACAGGCTCAGCAGGCTCAGCCTGTCCCCACGCCTACTGCATAGATTGTTCTCATTATCGCCTGCGTCTTCTAGTTCTTGGTACTTGGGGATCTGTTCTTCTATACCCGGCTCCGTCTCTGTTTACTTTCTTCCCTCTACCACTACACTACTACTTTCTTTCTATGTATATCCAGTCCTTGGCCTCTCTCAAGACTACGCCACGATATCATTCTGTAGTCTACAACCCCTTCTCAGCGCATCGCAATATGACCTCGACTACTGTGGCAACACTCTGGATTTGAACCTCTTCAATTCTGAAGCTAATCCCTCGGAAATTCCGATAGTTCTAAAACATAGAAGAAAAAAATACTGTTACCTAGGTACATATATCAATTACCGTGTAGACGGTACACAGTAAACATATAGGTGCAAAACAAATCCACAACAATAACCAACAATCCAATCATCTCCATTCACAATCAATTCATGGATCAGATCCTAAACCTCAACCCTCCCAATCCCCTCCAAAACCTTCCCCAAAGCACCCAAAATCAACCCATCATCTCTCTCCTTCCCAGCAACCTGCACAGCACGCACAACAAGCGGATAAACCCACTCTAAATGCTTCCGGCAATGACCACCACCATCCGACCCATCTTGAGCCCCGCCAACCGAAACCGAAACCGAAACCGTCTTCAGCGCAGGCGGGTCAGGGATAGCAGAAGGCTCACTCTCCAACTCAACCAACTTCAGCAAGAGATGCAGCAAGGCCTTACGCGCAGGTGTAGGTTGCGGCATTAGACCGCGTAATGGCTGGTCTGCGATATATGATTTGAGCGAGACTGCGCAGCGGAGGAGGAGGTATGGTGAGATAGCGCGTGCGAGGAGGGTTTCTGCTTCCGATGTTGGGCTTGGGGAGGTGGATGTGGATGGAGCCGGATGAGCGGCTAGCTCGAAGAGTGTGTCGATCAAGACATAGGCCATGTGTGGGCGGAGGGTTGGGGGTGGATCGAAGGTCCGGCCTGGACGAACATTGTAGAAGTCCGCCAGGGGGTTTTCATTTCCGTCGATGGTGTTTTGGGAGTTTGGGTTTGGGAGGTCGAAGCGGAGGGGGGCGTAGATGAAGGAGGAGTGGAAGAGGGCGCGGGCGAAGTCTCGGCGGATGGAGGCTCTTATGGCTGGGTTGCCGAGGGAGGGGAGAATGAGGGTTTTGAGTCTGGTGAAGGAGGTTATGTCGAAGGTTTCATCGGTTGTGATTCTTTGTCTTGGAAGGTTGTGGGCTTGGAAGCCGTGGGCGGAGACGATTCCGTTTGTGATTTCGACTATGCGGTGCCAGAATTGCGCTGTTTCGGTTTCGTTGGTGGGTTTGTATTGGTCTTCCACGTAGGGCACTGCCACTTGGAGGATATTTAGGGAAGCTATTGTTGCTTTTTGCCAGAGGTAGGGCTCGCGATCCTTTCCTTGCCAGGTGTACTTTTGTCCGATTAGAGCGCTGAGGTGCTTGAGCGCGGTTTCGAGTGCCCCGTTTGTGAAGACGTCTTGTTTGATGCCGAATTCTGCGATGTACCAGCCCATTAGGTCAATGATGTTTTTGGAGAATGCTACAAAGGCTGGTTTCCTGGTGTCGTTGCCGGGGCTCCATTTTGAGAGTGTTGAATCGGACAATTCGGCAAGACACAAGAGAATGGCTGGCTGGGAGTCCTCTTTCTCTAGGCATAGCTTTTTGATGCAATCGATGACTAGCGCTTGCACGGCCAGAGGTCGGTCAATATCCAGAGTGTAGCGGGGTGAGACTGAGTTCCACACGAGGAGGCGGAAATGTTCAAGGACTTTTTCAATGTGTTCGGTGGTCAGTTGATCTTTGTAGAGATGGTAGATCTGCTGGAATGTCTGTAGGTACGCCAATGCGGCATTTTGATTGGATTGTTCCAGATCAAGGACATCTTCATCACCAGCCGGGTGGCCGTTTGCCCAAAGGAGCCATGCACACTCGAGGGCATCGTTGCTAAGCTCGCCGGCATTTTGCACCCGGAGTAGGATTGCTGAAAGGCCAGAAAATGTGGCTTCGCTGAACTCCAAGATTTGCAAGTCAAGCAAGCCTTGCAAGTACTTCAGGAATCGTTTCCAGGACTGGTCGAACTTCTGGTCCTGCACGAGCGTTTCAAAGAAGTTTGTGATCAGACTGGATGATCCCTTGATCATTACAACTGTTGTGTCAACCCATGACTTGAAATCATCAGACTTCGTACTGCTCTGCTTATTCTTGGCCTGGATCACCGTGGTCTCAATTCTCTCAACCATCTTAAAAAGGACCATATTTAAGCAAAGACGCCACGCTTTAGGCAAGAGCTGCTGTCCGTAGGCATCGAAAATCCGCAGAAGGGTGTGCACTGCACTGTTTCGGATCTCTGGACGACTGTCTGTTGTGATATCAACGATGCGAAGCAACAACAACAGCCACAGGGAGTTCCGGGAGACAGCAGGATCCTCATCCCGGGCCAATTTGGCTAGCTGCTCTTCATTGACGGAGGCATCAACATGACCAATTGAGAACTCCTCGATCTGGCCCTGCAGGAAATCTGAGACATTCCAGAAGAAAGAGGTGGTGGTGAGGGAGATGTTGAAGTCCTGTGTTTGTGAGGCAAAGCTAGAGAATGCATTTACCAAGCTGAAGAGACACGGCGCCGGAAGTAGAGAAAGGAAATCGGAGGCGACGAGATGCAAAGACTTGTAGGCAGCTCGAACTAGACGAGGGCCCGCTGGAAGACCTGATGCCCTGCGCTCCAGCGGAGTGGAAGGTTGTTCACCGGCTTCAGACTGTGGAAGATTTTGGAAGACACCCGAGATCAAATCAAAAATCAGATGCCAACCATCCACGAAAGTCTCGGCATACTGTTCCAGGATGTTCCTTAATACCTCCAAGCTCTGCTCATGGATTTCAATAATCGTTATCGGCAAAGACTTGGATGTCTGCATGTCCGAGGAGTAGAGAGAGGTCACTTGGTCCTTCAATGTCTGGAGATTCCTTGTCTGAACCTGATTGTAGACATTCTCGTCGTCTTCGTCTCTCTGTTTCATCGTCAGGTAGACAAGCGAATTCACAATCGCATTTGCCTGCAGGCGAAGGTTTGGGCTGATGGCAGTATTGGCGGATGCAGAAATGAGACTTTGTGTCAGAAGCCGCCATGCCTTGTTGTCATCTTCTTCAAGCGAGGATAGTCTCGAGAGATTTGCCCTAGCAAGTTCATTTCCTTTCTCCAGCACGAATTTCAGCTCCTCGTCTAGCATTCTTGATTTGCCCACTGTGTGCGACACACGCCGAGAACCTTGGTGCAAGCGCCCAGTTCCTGTAGATGATTGTGGCGATCCTGGGATTTGTGATACTTCCTTTGCAGCACCTTCTTGGCGACGCTGCTCTGTAAATGGCGATAGGTTCAACAGGGCAAGCAAAATCTCCTCAAAGGAGGCACTCGGGAAATCGCTAGTGCTTTCAAGCAGCTTGCTAGAAGCTGCCTGAACCGCAATGACCTCGGTCCCCAGATTAGCAGTCGGGACATCATTTCCTGGGACTGCCGGGGTCTCTCCACCACTGGCCGATTTAACCATTGCACTGGAAGACATCCCAATCACAAGTCCAGTGTATTGAAGTGTCTCAAAAACAATGGACCAGGCCGGCTGATCCAAGGTCGGCCCTAAAGCAATTCCGAGGTTGAGCAATGCCCGCAGACAAAGGAGATTTCTTGTGCTCAGGGATACCGGAAGACCGTCACCAGCACCTGTTCCTGTAGAATCCAGTTGAACGGAGCCAGAGCGCGGAATATCAACACTTTTCCGTTTCTTTTGAGGCATGTCATTTTGCTGGGAGCCGGTAGCAGTGGAAGATTGTGACTTGTGGCCACCGCCACTTGCAGGCATGGCAGCCTTTCCGAGGGTGGTTAGGAAAGCATCTCTTGGCACTGATAGCCTCAGAAGACCCGCCACATGAGCCAGCTTCTGGAACGCACGAACGAGATTGTGGTAGTACTCGTCATCTAACGATGCGCGCAAGAAAGTAGAACATGCCGCCAGGACAGCCGGCCAACAATTCTCTATGATCCCTGCACAAGTCTTGATTGCGGAGTACTGAATATGAGACTGCAAGTCCAGGGGGTTGATTGGAACATGTGATTTCTTCATAGGTGAGGTGGACTGTGCTCGCAAGGATTCTCCTGCTGTAAAGTCCTGTGAAGATCTGGCGGAGTCGGGGCCTTCTGTGGGGCTCATAAGTCGGTTCTTGCGTCTTTGCTTCAGATCCGGTACTGTAAGGGGAAGAATAAACTTGGCGAGCCCTTCGGCAAAACTGCTGATACAGTTGAGAACAAGACTGTAAATGTAAGTATCCGGAGGGGGAGGCGGATCTGTCTTATCAAGAAGCTCGATATACGGCGTCCGAACAACACTCCACTGCGTACTGATCCCAGGCACCTTTGTCTCGCTGGGAGGAACAGTTGATCCAATGACACCAGCAACACCACCGGTTTCCAAGGTTATCTGGTCCTCAGTGGTCGATCTTGAGTGGTCTGCACGCGATGGTACTGTTGATTGATTGCTTACTCCGATCAAAGCCGGTTTTTCCGAAGCCAGTCGGACAAGCGCGGCCATATGATCGCGGAGAACATTTTTTCTCCCTTCTTCGCTGTCATACAGTGTATAGACGAGTCGCACAGCTCCTGGCTCAGAGTACAATCCGCGGAAGACCTCCATACACAGAAGTCTCTTCCAAGGTGCCGTCCCATCTGGCTCAAGAAGATGGGTGATCAGACTCAAAGCCATCTCACATTCTGCAGTCAAAAGCGACATGTGGCGCTTAAGAAGTATGAGAAGTATTCGGGCCACTCGAACAGTTTGGGCGAATGAGTATCTCTCAGATAGACAACGGACAGCCAATGGCAATAACCGAACACGCAGCACTTGCGCAAGTTCGGGGTGTCCTACAAAGAGGCGGCCACTGTTCAAAAGAATGCTCTCGATGAGCTCCAGTACAAATGGCGGAGATAAGGTTCTGGTACGCAAGAATTGCAGTTGTTCTCCATCCACCAAACGGCAGAGATCATCCAATACCTAGAACTTGAAGTCAGCGCTAGATGAAGCTGATGATAGGATGCAGACTTACCTGTAATGCATCGTAGGCAAAAATTCCAACATCGATCGACTGACCATCTACTTTGACGGTTGTGGTAATCTTTGCATCATTGGGGAGCTCTGCAAGACGATTAGCCCAATCCGTGAGAGGTGTTCAGAAGTATAACTAACTGTCTTCGCTCGAGACTCTTTCAAAAGTCGAAACCACTAGTTGCTGAAGGGTGGCCGCAGCAGTACTGGAAACTGCAATCGTTTTGCTTGCTTGCAGTGTGGCACAAATTTCCAATGTATTCGCGAGAAGGTCCCCGCTCAAGTCATTGGAATAGTACTGCAGGAGAGAAGGCAAAGACTGCAAGATCTTCAATTGAATATCGAGACCTATAACTGATTAGCACTGCTTCAAGGTATTGGGACATCGTGTCGCATACTTAAGCTCGTTGTCTCTCTCAGCCCACCGAGTACATCTTTGAGGCGACTTGAAGGCAATGAACGAGATGCAATGAGTCTCTGTAAGCAGATAACACCAATACCAGCAAGCTTCGCATGCTTAGTATGGCATGCAATGATAAATGGCTCGACAAATTTAGGTTTGCGAACAAGGTCTATTAAACAATTAGCGGTGTAGAACCAAGATGGCATTTGCGATCAAAGACCGACCTGCTGCAATTTGAGCCTCAGAGGTTGATGGCAGAGCCTTAAGCTCATTCAGCGACTGTTCGGCGGCCTGTCGTGTGTTCATGGTCAGTACGATGTCCAAGGATATCTGCCTGGAGGTGAAAGACGAACATTTCGGAGATCAGTGTTCTTCCTTCGGGACTCCTGGATTAGGTTGGCAATTTCAGTTTGCAAGAATTGGGAGGACATCTCTGATGCAGGATTGGTAAATCAACGCATGGCCAGCATTGGCTAAAGCCCGAGGTCCCGACGTCAACAGTATAGGGAGACTTTCGGTTGTGAGTTGCTAGGTCGAAGTTTGCACGCCAGACAAACAGCACAAGTTAGAGCTTTAAGCCAGGATCATATAAACAATTTGAGCTGCAATGGCTGCGATCTCTCCTATAACGACAATTCCACGATGGGAACAACAAGGCGTGGCATCTCCAACCAGCGCCAAGCTGGCGATACGGCTTATCGCACGTGATATCCCACTCACCGCCCACGCGCCATGCCCCTCTTGCAACATCCCTCTTGTGCCTCCTCCCACTTATTGTGACGTCTATAGACTCTGAATCATTGCTCTGTGCTCACCATGTCTGCTAAGGTCCCACGAAACTTCAGGCTCCTGGAGGAGCTCGACAAAGGAGAGAAGGGTCTGAGCGCAGGTGCGATTGAATCCTACGATCTCCGAAGATGTCCGATCACGAAGTACTGACGCATGTTCCTTGGTCGCAGATGCCTGCTCATACGGTCTCGCCGACGGCGAGGATATGATGATGAGCAACTGGAACGGTACCATTCTCGGCCCGCCTCACGTTAGTTCTTGCTTTGCCTTCACAAGATCAGCCCAATGCTAATCAACAATCAGAGCGTCCACGAAAACCGCATATACAGTGTGAACATCCACTGCGGACCCGACTACCCCGATAACCCTCCCACCATCCAATTCGTCTCTCGCGTCAACATCCCCTGTGTTGACCCCAGCTCCGGCAAGGTATGATAATGCGCGCCAAGACACAAAAGCGTCATCGCTGAGTTATTATGTTGCAGGTGGACCCCACAAAGCTCCCTACTCTTGCTCAGTGGAAGCGCGACTTTACCATGGAGACTGTCTTGATTGAATTGAGACGGTAAGTACAACGTGGAGTGTGTAAATGTTGTGCCGTGTGTTGACCGTTGTCTAGGTACATGGCCTTGCCACAGCATAAGAAATTGCCGCAGCCCCCAGAAGGCTCGAATTTCTGATCGAACATCTGTTCCGGATGGTTCAGACAGATTTACGAGTATCAGGATCGGCTTCCATTCGATTCACTAGCTTTTTCTATCCTTCAATGTCTAGAGCGTGTACAGTCACTGCATGAATGCATCAGGTTTCTTTGGAAACCAGCTCTCGATTCTTATCTTATGACTCGGTATTCATGAATTGTTGTGTTTTATGAGCCCCTGCATTGCGACAGGCGCTGTTTAAGTTACGAATAATAAATGATCTCCCTTTATTCATCGGCAGCTCCGGAGAGTAGGGTGGTTGATCAAGAAATATTTACACGTAGGATCATTCACTGTCAAGAGGTATACAGAGTAGTGGCGAGTGCGGTTCATTCTGAGTGGCAATGGGATCAAGGTGGAGAAGGAGACCACAGTCTCGTCGCATAATCAAGGCTCTCAGCTCGACGAAGGCCCAAGCAGGATCCGCCCTAGTTAATCAAGTAGGTGAAGAGCCAACAGGAGCCGTGAAAGCTCAGCCGAAGCCGTAATTACGTTGGATTTACGGGGACTACGGGACTCCGGGTCTCAAGGAAGTCAGTTCAGGCGTCGAGATCTTCACGTGCATTGAGTCATTCTCATGAGAGACGCGCGAGACCTCAAAACCCATGAAGGGGAAGGGCACAAGCCATAGCATCACGGCGTATGTCGAAACATCTGCGGGCCTCTCTTTTCATGTAGGCACAAGGAACTAGGAATGCATAATCGCACACAGGGAGGCGATAGCGAGGTGCCAAAGCCAGTCCAAACGTGGGAATAGGGTTGCGTGAGGGTGAGTCAATACACAAAACATACAATTACGCATCATTGACTCGGAACAGCCAAAGGCTCCATGGGGAGAGACAGAAAGCTTCTTCTCCAAGCGCCCGGGCAAGCCGGGACGGTTGATGAAAAAGGTTCGCGTCGATCGGGGGTAGTGTAAGCCCGATGACACAGTGCAACGAGGCATGCGCAAGCACAGAGGCCAAGTTGCGGGATCCAAAAATGAGAATAATCAAAGTGTTTCCAAGAGGAAACTTTCAGAGATTAAACTGAAAAGAACAGATACTACACTTGATCTAAGCCAATAGGCAAAGAGAGCTAAAGAAGAAAGAAAAGAAGAGGAAGATTGGGGGGAGCAACGGGTATATATAGGCCTATTGTGTCACGTGATCTGACCAATTTTCCCGTTTGGGGAGGTAGATCACATGTCATTTGGAACTTCAATAACGTTACTCCGTCACCCGCGCATACACGCTGGAATGCATAAGGTGTTGGTTCCTAGCCATTCTAGTGCTCATCGCTTTGCCTGTAAGCTCATCCTTTGCTCTGTCCTGCACCTTGACTGACGATCGGGCTTTTGATAGGTTTTGCACTCTATCGAGCGCTTCTTCGGCAATGTTGTCCCACCAATGCCGCATCATGGCAGGGTGAGAGCAGGTCTCTCGTTAAGAAGAATTTCCGGCGATTTCAGAAACTGCAGAGTCCATCCCAAACGGCTAATGCATTGAAGGCAGGCTATGAGGTATACACATTGAATTCTGTCCGTCGCAGAGTTCCTATTGACGATCGTATCGCATACAGGCCCTAGATCTCCTCTCCTCTGCATCCGAGGGCAACAGGCACGATACACATAAGATTACGACCCTTCTCGCCCAACACAAGTCACAAAAAGAAAAGCATGCCGCCATGCAAAGGAAGTCTGGGTCCGCAAAGCCCGTCAAACCCATGTCACCCAAGAAAGCTCGAAAAGCAGAGTCAATACGCTTCCAGAAAGAGACTGCACAGCGACATCCAAATGCTACACCGGTTCTATCCCGTCCTCGACCGCTAGGGTCGCTAGGGGACAAGAAACGGAAAGTCCCGGTACTCGTCAATGCACGCGGCATACCATTCCTGCGCTTTAAGAAGCCACAGCCGAGAAACCTTAGCGACACGCTACGAAAGAAACTCCTCAACCGTTGGGTTTGGATTCAGCGCCGTGAGAGGCTGCAACTTGAGATATTGTTCGCCAGGGACGAAGATGATTGGGATCGCATAACCACGACCGCAGAGCGATCTACCTGGGTTCAGCCGATTCAAGAGTCCCTAGACGATGTTTGTGACAAGGTTGCACGCTGGGATATGAAAAACAAACAGACTGCGGAGAGTATGTGGGGCGTCGTGCTGGCTGAAAGAGCTCTGGCGGAAGAAGAAGCAAGCCAAAGGCAGGAAGATGCAAGCCAAAGGCAGGAAGATGCAAGCCACCGGCACGCAGAAGCAAACCAAAAGCAGCCGGAGCAGTGATATCAGTGGTTTGACTCGCCATGTGTCTCTACCAGGCTCCTGCTCTCTTGGGACTCTCTGAATCAAGGTACCTGTGCTACAGAAACATAGTCATTGTCTATCTCTTCACGTCCACTGCCTTCAGGCCAGTATCCTGTGTCCTCGGTGGTCACCCCGCAACAAACTACGATATCAGCAGTCGATCGAAACCTCAATGGCATTATATATGATGCATCTAACTTTGGACGAATCCCCATCTGTTGATCATAGCTGATCACCAGCCATTGCATGCTGGGGTCCTACCCATTTGTCTATGGTTGGGTGTCCTAGCACATATACCATTACCTTCCCCACGAAACTTGAATCATGATAATGACGCCCTCTTGCGCGCTTTATCTTCTGTTCAAGCATTCACATCACATGTACTATACGTCCACAGGGACTCCCTCTGTATATCTCTTCTCATACCCATCATATGGGCTCTACAGCCTGGTCGATATACGTAACAACAATGCAAAAGATTGAATATTTTCATGAGTAAAGGGAGGTCATAAACATCTGTATGGGTCGATTCATGTAGCCACTCTGAGCTTATCAATGGCCGGCATAGCATCATCATCTTCCTCATCATAATCACCCTTGCCAGCCAGACCCTTCTCCCAAAGTTGTCTCCCCGTGAGCTTTTTCTCCTCTTTCACTGCAGTCTTCTTCTTCTTGTCGTCTGCCTCCTTCTCCTCACGTAACCGCGTCTCCTCATCCTCAATCTCCTTCTTGAACTTGGCACTCCACTCCAAGAACGACTCAACGGTAACAGGTGTGCCGTGGAACTTGCGGTTCTCCTCCTCTTCTCTCTTTGCGGCTACCTTATCCTTCTCGGCTTGGACTGCGTTCGCCCGTTCGGTGATGAGAGTCTCGGCGTTTTCTTTGAGTGCGCTGACGAGAGTGAAGACCATTGCCATTCCTATATTCTCTTCGATAGTGGGTTCAAGGCTCTGCAGCAGCTGGTCCCGGTCTTCCTGGACGTCTAGTCGGGGATGCTTTGGGGCATCGTGTGGAGAAGAGATATTGAGGTCTGGTGCAACATCGGGGTATGCTTCCGGGTATGAAACTTCCAGGATTATCACTGGCATTTCTGATTCATCGCCGTCATATTCGGGAACGTCGAGAGATATGGATACTCGGTATGAGGTTTCGGATATGTCTAGGTACCGGATATCAATGTCAGAAAAGATGAAGAAAAAGGTGGCTGCATGCCCTCAGCAGGCTTTACTAGTTACTAACCTATGATTTCATCGGGGAAAATTGAGTCGAGCACCTCGCGCTCTTCAATCTGGTCTTCGCGACCCATTGCTTCTGATCCGCCCGCGGAGCGGAGGGGTAACGATTTGGGCGAGTGCGGATTTTGGAAAGGAAACCAGGAGACAAGAGATGTACTATCAAGCGATGGACCCAATAGCTTGCCAACCAAGACTTTGAGAGTTTGAAATAGTATCGCAGCCAAAAGAAAGATCGGATATAATCCAAGCGTGCCAATATTGCAGTCCCACATGCAAACCCGACAAACACTCCAAAATTTTGGCTCAGAGCTTCAACTTTTTTACTTCCCCCAGATACATGCAACTTACATTGCCGTATCCTTGACTTGACGATATAACATATTTCCACCACATTACGCTATAGTCCTGCCATGGGAAAACCTAGACCGCAAAAGAAGAAGTCCTCAAAGCCCCGCGAAAAGTCCGTCCTCGGCCCTGGTGGCTCGATTTCAAAAGGCAAAATGGCCCAAGATCCCTCAACGCTTCTCGACCAAGCCACGATTCTCCTCCAGACTGGACGGGCTGATGAGGCGCTCATCACGGCACAACAGGCACTCGAATTGACCGCTGAAAATACACCCGCACAGCTCCCCGCCATCAACTTGCTCGGAGAAATCAACGTCGAGCTTGGCGATATCGACACTGCTAGAAACTGTTTCCTGCAAGCTGTTCAGTTGGATCAGAATGGCTCGATACCGGAATCTGAAGGAGGTGGTGCCGAGAAGTTCCTTTGGCTTGCGCAATTGAGTGAGCAGGGTGGGAAAGACAGTGTCCTGTGGTTCGAAATGGGCGTGTCGTCCCTCAGGCAGACTATTCAGAGTCTCGAGGGTAAGACATCACCAGCTGAGGTTGCGGATCTTGAACAGAAGAAAGCCAAGATGTCCAACGCTCTCTGTGCTGTTGCTGAAACCTACATGACCGATCTTTCGTGAGTTTTCTTTTTGCTATACAATCCATGTCGAGGCATCGCTAATCTTATGCTTAGTTGGGAGGAGGACGCCGAAGCTCGTTGCGAAGCACTCATTACAGAAGCTCTTCTGATTACACCCGAAGCACCAGAGGTGCTACAGACTCTCGCCTCTATCCGGATATCACAGCTTCGAACTGAGGATGCGCAAGCCGCGCTTACTCGCAGTATGGCGCTATGGAAGGACCTGGCCCCGGAGGACCCCAAGGTCCCTGATTTCGCATTGCGCATCAGTCTTGCACGACTCCTCATGGAGGTTACTATGGAGTTTGAGGCTCTGGAAGTCCTCGAGCGTCTAATTCTGGAGGATGATCAGAGTGTGGAGGCGTACTACCTTGGAGGCTGGTGTCTCTTCCTGCTGGCAGAAAATCAACAGGCACCGAAGGATGCGACCCCTGAGGAACTTGCTGAGTCTCCCCGCCATGCATCGCTCGCTGCGAGTCGCGAGTGGCTTAAGCAAGCCTTGAAACTCTACGACCTACTTCAGTACGAGGACGACCGACTCCGCGACCATGCCTTGGAACTTGTACAAGAGATGAACAAGGAAATTGGTGAGGACGACGATGACAGTGAAGCCGAAGGCGAAGGAGAAGGCGAGGAGTCGGATGAGGAGATCGAAATCGACTCCGACGACGAGATGGCGGATTCTTAGATACCAAGAGTGACGACATGAAACGATGTACATGTTCTTTGATACCAGCACTTCAGTAGTTCTCACATATTCTTTGTTTCTGAACAAATCAGATCTTGATATCGCCACCATTCATCGGCCCGGATTAAGTTGTCTCCGGTAGTCCAGATGCCCGAATTTTTGCCAGCGCAGGATCAAAAGAGCTGACTCCGAGGCTGGCATCTCAAACTCCAAAAGATGGATTTGGTACCAGCCCCAAGCGGAGAGGACTCGTTCAAAACTCCCGTGGTCGAAGTGGAGGCCGTGGATATGGACCAGTTGGCCATGAGCGCGGAGGAGCGCGCTCTGGAAGACATCCCGTCCACCTACGAGACGGACAGCGACGACTCAGAGGACTGGGACACCCTGTCTAATGCCGACGACGCCATCCAGATCCTCCGCGATGATCAGATCCGCGACGGGCTCGGTATGTAACTACACCCGCCCTCTTACCCCGGACATCCCCGCTCAGACCAGAATGAGACACCGGCTAACGCGTTCACCGGTCATAGTTCCCGATGCCTGTACCCTAGAAGAAGCGCTTGCATATAGAAAGCGCCTGCATGCCATCGGCAAGGCGGCGTTCGTGGAAGAGACCATCGTTCGCGAAACCGTCACGGCGAAGAAGCTATGCACGGCTTTTGGAATCGTTCCCCCGGCATTCCTAGAGGGCGCCCCAGACGAGGCTTATCATTCTCTTTTGGCAATCGCGATCTCGCGCGAGTACTCTCGGCGCCCTAAGCTTCCACAGTACAACACTATTGACGATGCTGTGCGGTTGCTTCGCGAATCCAGGAATATCATCGTTCTAACAGGCGCAGGTGTAGGTGTCCATATCCAGGCGCATAACGGAGGTTCATGACATACGAATACTGACTGGGTGATTTTTCAGATCTCGACGAGTCTGGGCATCCCCGATTTCCGTTCTAAAGATACCGGTCTCTATTCAAAACTGGAACATCTGGGCCTGAGCGACCCCCAAGAAGTCTTTGATATTTCTGTCTTCCGGGAAAATCCTAAGATCTTCTTTTCCATTGCGAAGGACATCCTTCCCACTGAGAAGAAATGGTCACCTACTCATGGATTTATTCGGCTTCTGCAAGACAAGGGGAAGCTGTTGACCAACTACACGCAGAACATCGACAACATCGAAGCAAATGCAGGAGTCCTTCCAGAGAAGATTGTACAGTGTCATGGATCCTTCGCGACTGCAACCTGTGTGAAATGTCAGTTTAAGGTCACTGGCGACGAGATTTTCGGTGAGATCAAGAAAGGAAATGTTCCAGAGTGTACCGCCTGTCAGAAGAGAATCGCAGAAGAATCACTCAAATCTCAGGGACTGAAGCGCAAGCGGAGCTCCAACGGTCAACAGAAAGACCGCAAGATCTCGGATGACAGTTCCGATGAGGACTATGAAATTCCTACTCCCGGGGTGATGAAGGTCAGTCGTGGTTTAGTTCAGCCCTCGCTTCTATTATACTGACTCGTTGCGTAGCCGGACATCACTTTCTTCGGCGAGGATCTCCCTGATGAATTTGGCGAACGGTTGGTTCACCAAGACCGTGAAAAGGCCGATCTAGTCATCGTGATTGGCACCTCACTGAAGGTCGCTCCCGTGGCAGAAGTGCCAGGGATTTTGCCACGCAACGTGCCACAGATCTACATATCGCGGACTGTAAGTTATCCCCATGATCTTATTTGTTCCGTGCTGACCTCGACCGTAGCCGGTGTCGCACACTGACTTCGATATTGATCTCTTGGGTGATTGCGATGTGGTGGTATCAGAACTTTGTCGTCGTGCTGGCTGGGATTTGAAGCATCATATGATCCCAGATGATGAGAAAGTCGATATCACCACAGTGGAAGGGTATGAATCACGACATATTTTTAAGGTAGCTGGTGCATAGGGCGGAGTTTCGGGCATGTCTTGCTCCTGTCTCAACGGAAGGCGTATTTGGGGTTCATGTTCACCGCTGGATGCGGTGGTTGTCTCAGCAGATTTGGTTTTTCTGTTCAAGTTTAAATAGATCGGTTTTTCTATCGACTATAGTGTAGTCAGTTGTTTTGTACAGACCTTGTTTCTTAAATCCTATTTGTGCACAGAATATACTTGCTTTCACTTGGGTTTTTATCTCAAATTCTCTATTTGCAAGAAAGTACAATTTGTGTTTTTTTATTTTTTCAAAATGTCGAGATATATATAGTGGGAGGCGCAAGACCCTGGGGCTCTCGGAGTATAGTTTGGAGCCCGATAAAAAAAAATCTCAACCCGCAACACCCCGCCAACATCACGAATTGCATGAACCACCACCCCAGGACGAGGAATATCTAGCATTAAAACAGGTAGATCTTCGAAGTACACACCATGGATTATCTGGTCCGGTTCGCTCAGGCCCATGAGACCTTCCGACGGCCAGAAATCCATGCCTGTGCCACACTCGCAGGCGTCGACCTCGAGATTCTCAGCTACTATGAATTTGTATGCACACCTTTCCATACCAACCAAATTGGTGGTATTCGCCTCGTCTACAATTTCGATGGCAATACCGATCTACCATGTCCCTTGCGCTTTTGCGCCACAGCCTCTACGACCAGAAACTCCACTGACATGACTACTAGTCACCATACTGCGTCGTACGACTGCCAAATGAAGAAGCAGCGCGCGCTATTGCAAATCGCAGCATCCTAATCAGAGACGTCTTCGAACTCTGGGGACAAGGTGCCAATTATGAGGACTTACATGCAGACGTCCACCAACGAAGTCAGCACCGTTGGAAAGACTTCGAACACTCCGAATTCGCGTTCAAAATCGAATATTTTGGTGGAAAGCGCAACACAACCTCAAAGAGAGATATCTTGAAGTCATTCTCATACACGGGTTTTAAGGGCCCGGTCAATCTAAAGAACGCTGATCAGCAGTTCTTCGTGATGGAGGAGTACATCGATGATGTTGAACAGAGTGTACTGAAAGTTGCACCGACTGAACAGCCAAGAAAGATCTTTCTTGGACGAAAAATCTGTGACAGCTGTCGCGATACTGTCCTCAAGTACGATCTCAAAAAACGTGACTATATCAGCACGACCTCCATGGATGCGGAATTAAGTCTGATCACGGCCAACATGGCCCTTGCCGCGCCTGGAAAATTGTTTTTTGACCCATTTGTCGGAACCGGAAGCTTCATCGTTTGTGCTTCGCATTTCGGGGCTTTGACAATGGGCGCTGATATCGATGGCCGCAGTTTCCGAGGCAAGGAGGCTGGGAAGCTGGGCGTGTTTGAGAACTACAAGCAATACGGGATGCCCAGCAAATTCGTGGATTGTCTCACTTCGGACTTGGTAAATACTCCACTCCGGCGCCCCCAGTTCCTCGATGGCATTGTTTGTGACCCGCCATATGGTATCCGAGAGGGCCTTCGAGTCTTGGGAAATCGCAATGGAAAGCCTGCAGTAAATGTGATTATTGATGGTGTCCCTGCTCATCTGTATGTATTGCCTTTTTCTCCAGCACCACTGGACGCCCCAGAGGATACGATATACGAAACTGACTCTTTCACACAGTCGGCCCGGGTTCGTCCCTCCCAAAAAGCCTTACGGGTTTGAGGCATTGCAGAAAGATATTCTTAACTTCGCGGTTCGAAGCTTGGTGACAGGTGGCCGCCTTGCGATGTGGATGCCGACTACCAACGAGGAGGCTGTTGAATTCCCTGTTCCCATGCATGAGAATCTGGAGGTTGTTAGTGTTTCTGTTCAGCCGTTCAATAACTGTAAGTGGTCCAACTGATAAAGTCCACTGCTTGTTTGTATGGATTTAGCTAACTTTGTGCACTAAAGGGTCTCGCCGACTTATTACATACCGCCGTCTACCCGAGGGAGAAGTGTCTGATGTTACATTGGGTCGCAGTAAGACTGATGATCAGGGGCACAGGGCGGATGACCTGAATATGTTCCGACGAGTGGTATGTGCTAGATGGGAGATTGACGAGCCTGTGATCGATTGACTAACTCATTGAACCCAAGTTTATGAACAAAGGACAGGTTCCCAGAGTCGAGAAAGACAACGAAACGACAAAATAAAAAGCCTGATTTCGCAAATGAACAGGGAAGCCGTCTCCCCTCGGCAGGCTAGAAAAGCCACACAATAGAAGACCTATATACAGCAATAGACTCCAAGATCCCAGCAAAAGGAACACAAATGCAAAACAGCCGAAGAGAAACATAGATGTGCCACGCAGCACTTCATCTGCATCAAGCAAAGGCAAAAAAGCTATTTCACAGTTTCCCTCTTGAGCTCGCATCCAAAACCAACCCCTGCGCCAGATCCACACCCTCCTCCTTCTGAATCCGCTTAACCTCCTCAACAAGCTCAAGTCTCAGCTCGCGAGCTAAAATCTCAGCCTCGTCATCATCCAATTCCTCTCTCTGCCCACGACCAAACATGGCAAAGCTTGTTCTCTGATTGGTCCCTGTTGCAGGGCGGGGGATGATGTGGAAGTGGACATGGGGCACGACTTGTGCTGCCCTTTCGCCTGTAGATGCGTTAGCTGGTTGGTCTCATTCTGGTTCTTTTCTCTTTTCCGTTTTCTTCATATTTTTTCTTTTTGCATAGATGGATGCAACATGTATGATAGACAGCATGTGTATGAGTGTCAATCTCAATCTCAATGTCAATCTTCGTCTCAATTGACAAGAATGACACCCCTAACAGCCCCCAACAATTTCAAATTCCAAGAATGAATACAAGCCCCTTTTCTTGTATTGTAAAGAAAAAAGAAGAAGAAAAGAGGAGAAACACATACCATTATTCTGCACAACATTCCAATGCCTATCAGGATCATCCCCGAAGACAGTCTTCGTAACGACCCTTGAAAGGATCGGAAGCCATTTACCCATCTAACCGTGGGAACCCAGACAACAATGCGTCAGTAACACAAACATGTACATGTACCGATGCCTCAATAAGGTAAGTGAAAAGTTACATACCT